TAACAGAAAAAGATGGTCGACAATCAAAAGTAACATTCCGTTACCTCATGAGTATTATTTAGATTTGTATATCATTTGTTCAACCATAATAAACATAATCAATTCATCATTTCACTCTGTTCATGTTGAAATAAGAAGCACCTGCTTTGCAAGATGTTGTTTCGACCTCTGTAGACCTGACTCTCACTGTCAGGCTAATAAGTTTCATACTCTGCCCTTTTAGTAAATTTAGAGAGCTCACTCACTTTCTCTCTATATAAATATAATGAGAAAAGGCAATCAAAAATGTAATATGTTTCACATTTCTGTAATTTAGAACAAAGAGCTAAGTGTGAATACGCGCAAGTTCTTTGATTCATGCAGTCGCCATCCATCTACGTGTTTGTTGCTGTGGTTAACCGCGCCATATCTGAACGGACATTTTGGAACCTTTCGACATCAGTGTTAAAAATACCTGTTTAGCTTCTGGCTCCGATCAACCCAGTAAAACTCTGTGAATAATGTTCAAATTGTCTGTGAAACAGCTTTTGAAAGTGAAAATGCCAAGCCTCTTAATGTAATACGGAAGAATTACCCAGGAGGAAGGGTTTATATTAGAATGCCCAAGGGATCGTAAGCAGAAGGCAAAAAGAATAAGCTTAGAAATCTACCACAGGGAATGTGTCTGGTATTTTTAAAGACACATTTTGCGTCGATAGACATTTTTACCGTGCATAAATAAATTCCCATTAAAATCTTGACTCATCTAGCCATCTTTTAAATGACTATACTTTCAGCGATGGTGGAAGCGAGGAATAACGAGGCATGGTTTTTAAAAGTCGTTGGGGAAATAGTTAATGGCATATCGATACACTTCATTTACAAGATTGGTAAGTGATGACGTTACGTTTAGAAACGAATCGCTTTCGCTTTTGTTCTTCTTATTTCTATACGTGTCGTCAGTGTTGCTCTAAAATCTTCTCAGATAAGCTTTTATCTTTTCTCTGATTTTATTTTCATCAAATAGTAGTAAAGTTTTGTTTTCTGTTGAGCCCTTTTTCATGTAACAAATCAAAAAAGTTATAGAGTGGGAAAATGTTTCTCTCTTTCAAACATTTAGATCGACGTGCACAGTGGGATTGACATCACACGAAACAAATAACGATAAAATAGTAACTACTAATCCTAATAATAGTCAGAAAATATAAAATTACACCTTGTGTATGCAATCATTGATTCTGTAGAAACTAACCTGAGTGAGTGCGTTACACTGAACCCAGTGATAAATACGTGGAAATTGTCAGGCAGAGGATATGGCATGTCCTTACCTTATATCTCCGGGGAATTCAATTATCACTGCTTTCAGGTTGAACAATTGAACCTGTAGAAGATAAGATATAAATCATTCAGTTATCTACCTTGGAGACCGGTAAATATTTCAAAGTAGATAAACCACTCTGATGTGTGCAACGTTACTTACAAATGTATATAGGGTAGTCCACAGGGGTTTCAACTCGTAACAGCGACATGTTTGAATTTTGATTGTACAGGTTTCACAATCAGCTACAGCTTATTATTCATACTCAACAAAAATCATGTCATAACATGTGTTTGAAAATGCTTCACAATATGGCTATGGTTGCCCCCAGACGTCACACAAAAACCTTAGAAAGATTAACCCATAAGGGACTTTGTGCTACGCATACCCCAGTTCATTCTCCTTCTATGTTCCAATTGTATTATTACACGAATGTCTATACGGGACTCTGAGAAGATGTGAACGCCTCTGCAATCCTAATTTTTACGATTCCTACTTTCTTTCTCGCAAGCCGATTATCAACCGACGATCCCATATTTTGTATTTTGCCGCAAGGGTTCGATTGGTGGAAATATTGAGTAAAGAGAAAAGGAACTGGTGGAAACACCTCACTCTAAACGTGTGTTTTCATGCCCTAATCAGAGATTTCCTAGTCCAGCATCACACAGACTTTTTCTTCCTCCCCCTCTTTCCATTGATCTGTTCACATTGCCAACCTTTTTCATTCCTATTGGTATCAAGCGTTGTAAAGTTTTGTCAGTTTAAATAATGCTCCGTTATCCGTGCACCTATTCTCTTGAGCTTTCCCACTTTTCCAAACAGGGAAATCTCTGCGTCGGAATCCAAGTGCATGCATGGGAATGATCCCCTTGTGTCCTTGCACTGTGTAAAGATGAAGTGATATTAAACTGCCTTCAGGCGCCATTTTACCGGTCCGCGCTTTCGTAAATACGCCACGAAGTAATGATACCACAGTCTTGGGGTTATTTAGAGTGATAAGATAGGTAGCTATGCACTCTCTGTATCGAGAGTCCACACTATAAAGCTGTTTGGCCGTACACCGTGGCAAACAAAGCCCAGAGTTGTATTTCCATTTTGCTTTCGACATTCAGATTGTTATCAATCTCTGCTGGGCATACCCATGTCTTCTGCATAGTAATCACGAACCGTACATGTGCAATCCAATAGAGAGAAAGGGAAAAAAGAGACAAAAGAGAGTTAAACTTGTGCGAGATGAATTTAGTAGCTGTGTTTAGCATTGAAGGGATACTGCACCATGAGCAATGCATGACTACTTCATTCATTTAATGCATAAAGGTTTCATGCAGTATATAAGTGCTCATAACATTGGAATATTGAAAAGCTGACATGATTTTCCGAAAATATCTAGGTGATTTTCCTATCCCTCTCTCTCTCACTCTCTCTCTCTCTCTTTCCTTCTGTATTTATATCTCTCTATCTCTTTTCTCCCTTTTCTCTTTCTCTCTCTTCCTCTCCTTCCATTTCCTTTTCTTTCTCTTTCGTTTTTCCCTTCCATTTACATAAATCATAAAAAACGATGCATGATCGTAATTGTTATAAATGTTTATAAACTATAATCATTATTTTATTCTTTGTCCCCATTGCCCGTTTTATGACTCTCTCTCTCTCCCCCTCTCCCTCTCTCTCTCTCTCTCTCTCTCTCTCCCTTCCTCTGCTATACACACTCAAAATATTGATATAAAAAGTTATGCAATGTTTTACTTTTCCCCGTCCCTCCCACTTCTTCTTTCTATCCTTTCCCAAAACAACGTGCTAAAAAAAAAGAATCTAGCGTTTTTTAGACCTCATTACAATAGTGGAAGATCGAGAATTTCTGAGAATTGTAGCAGTGAAGCACATCCAAATATGATATACTCAAATGATTCTTATCTCCATTATCTTAAAATTAATTGAAGGTTTCTGATGTCTTAAACATCAGATTCTACCCTTCATTAACGTGATTCAATGCCAATAAAATTGACAATAACAGCGTAGGCGCTCGTGCCAATACAAATTCTGCAATTATTAGGATATTCAATAAAGCTTAAAGGATAGAAAGGCATTGTTGTCACTCTCAAATCCTATTAATTAAATATTAAAGGAATTGTGACGTTTATTACAATGGCGAATTTATTAAGTGGGTTCATTTTCCTATCAATATATCTAAATTGAAATACGTACTTGATTTTTCTGTAAGATATATATATTTATGAAATGGTAGATGGACATCGTTTGTATAGTGCTCTAAACGATAAATGGAATATGCTCATCTGCACCACAGCTCTTACCAGCAATTTTCTGTTATCAAATGTGATTTCAGCCCATAACTATAGTCTGTAATATTTGGATTCTCCACCATAAACCTCAATCACGTCTTCATCCTCTCTAAATTAGAAAATAAATAGCGGTTGTGAATGGTGAGCTCTACCATCTAATTGTGACGTCATATACTGTACTATATTGTTGCTGGGTTTGATGACCCATACATCGTTTTTCACTGGATCGCATTCATGCCTTGCTTTACTCGACCTTATTTCTAAATAATTATGGGATTGGCATCAAAAATATAAATGTGTATTTGTTGTGTGAGAACGATATTATAGGGCATATATATTGCAATAAGATAGCAATGATGAATATAGAAATTAGATCGGGAACATTCTAATATTGTCATCCTCTGTAGTGTATATTTTGCTATATTAATATGAATTTGTTATTATATATATATTTTTTTAATTTTTTTTAAGTGCCTTTAAATTATTAAAAAGTACATTAGAAAGAAATGCACTAAATGATCTCACCCTGGGGTTAAAGGGCCCTCTCATATCACTTATACACGTGATTTCTTGGTTATCTCACAGTTAAATTGTCAATATTTTAAAAGGAAAGCAAGCTAAAAAAATAAATTGATAGTTCTTTCGCCAGATATGCTAGATGAATCTCTAGAAGTTCTATCTATGTCTGTCAAAAGATTTGGTATTGTACTGCATGGCCAGTACTTATGTCTCAATATGAATCATGTAAGAACCTAAAGCTATAAAGCAGACGACGAAAAATCATCAGGAAAATAGATGAATGGTGAAATCAAATACTTCTTTTGAGAATGATTGCTAACCAGATTCACTGATATGATTTTCACACCAGTATCTCGTGTTGTAAGTTAGAAGGACATGAGACATCGCAATTAGTAGTGAGAGGCATCATTCATCAATCGTGCCTCAGGCAGTTCACATATTGCACACATGATCTCGCTTGTACGAGACATACCTGACTTTACACCCTCCATTCAGTCATGTTCATATTGATTTGTACTTCCACAGTCACGAAGGGGGGGGGGGAGGAGGGGGTAGATAATCTCTTATTCCTAAGAGAGCTCAATGACGTCATCATCGTCAGTGAATGTGTGAATGTTAGATCATAGTATAGCATGCCTTCTGCTCAACAATAAAAGAAGTTCGGCGATTATTGTCGCACTTACCTTCTAGACTGCACTTTTAATATGTCTAGCACAGGTGCGGTACAGTAATGATCCAATGTTTGCATCGTGTGTCTCCTTGGGAATGTGCATATCGACAGGTCATTTACTGGCCTGTAACGTATGTTTACTCTTATTACTATTATTTTGTTTGTTTCTAAATCATTGTCCTCTTATATTTTGTATCCTGTTTTTTTTTTCTTGCAGTATGGGTTCGTTAATCACGCTTTGGAGCTGCTGGTTCTTCGAGAACATGGCCAAGACAAATGGGAAGAAATCAAGTAAGTTATTGTCTTTTTCATATTTTTCGCCTTCTTATTATAAGCCTATCTGTTTTTTTCTCTTTCTCATCACTCTCTCTCTCTCTCTCTCTCTCTCTCCTTATATATATATCTGTATATGTATATCTATCTATATCTTCTCTCTCTCTCTCTCTCTATCTGATATAACCCATTATCTCACTTTCAACTTTGCTTAAATATTGTCTCTCCCTCTTTCGTTTCTTTCCCCACTTTCGCTCCTTCTCAATTGTTTCTTATTTCATTTAATCGTCACCCCGATAATTCAATTCTTCATCATCACAGTCAGCTCGTCATGAAATATCGACATACTCAGATTTTGATTTAAGTTTATGTTTACAAACATATATTCACATGAAATATAAAGAATGTCGTTCCGTAATTTATTGTTTGTACACTTTGGAATATACCTCTAACCTACGTCATCATTATTTATCCATACACTCCAAGAAAACCTGCAAATATTTGGTCATCAACCTTATTATTAATAACGACAACGCTGTTTTTACCATCAAATATCCTTGTAAAAGATTCCATCATGCCCTTTTCTCTATTACATTTACATTTTCATTCAAGAGGCAATCATTATTAAACTCCCATCATACTCGAGTGTGGCTATCAGCGAAAACAACGGAAACGTCATTGACTGCGGTTACTACATCAACAACACCGCGGATGTATTATTCAGGAATTATTTCCAACTGAATGATACTTTAGGAACATGTATCTTCCCCGAACATGAATCAAGCAATATCACCAAATAAAACCAAATAAGTAAACAGCAACAACAACAACATCAAGAACAAAATGATTACGATATCAGATGATGTCCGCGCTGACGAAGCTTGGGAGTAACCTGGTGGAGTTCAATGGTGAATTCCATCTTCGTGGCGTTATATCTTCTAGACCAGCCTCATCACAAAGCCGTGCCCTGTATATATTATAATGAAACCATTATTCTTGCTTCGTTTAGATTTCTACTTTACCACTATAATCCAATTGATTTTATGTGTGCGTGATCAATGAATCATGCCCATTCATATTTCATATGAGGATACTGACGCAAGTTCCTAGTGTGACCAAGCACTGTATAACAATGCACTGAATACATTTTAAGGAAACGCCCAAGGCGGAAGCAGGCAACTCAATAGAAAACCACATGATTGAAGATGGTTGGTAACTTCATACAGGAGCATCAGAAAAGGGGAAACCCCGTGTTGGTGTAGTACCTTGTCAGATGAACATGTCCAAAATGTGATTGGATAACAAAACTAGTGTATCGATAGCGTAGAAAGTTTTAAAATATTTCACCTGGGGAGCTTTGTATACTAAAACATTGAAGGTGTTGAGCAGAAACCAATGCTTGGGAGAAAATATGAGAACTTTGGGGCATATTCTCTATTACCTTGATCTTCAGCTAAAGAAACATTACACGTCCACTACTAACGTAAATATTTTCCAATGGTGCCGTGATTACTAATAAAGCGAAAAATGATAGTGAACCTGAAGAAAAAAATCCGTCTAAGCTGAAAGCCAGACCTCGTCATGTTGTGTTTTTAAATGTATAAATCCATAAAGAAAGCAGTGATACCTTTTGTTTTAAACATCTCCAAATGTATTAAATGGTGTGGGTTTGTGTGTGGGCATGTGTGAGTGTTTTAGGAGTTACTATAAACTAGTGCCAGTGAATAAGAGATTATTTAACCCTAAAATAGGTAGGCTATTCCACAGAATATATGAGCCGTGGTCACATAGAAGATTCTAGTTGAAAGTTGTAATCTACTTAATATGTATTTCTAAAAATAAAAATAAATAGCAATATTCCCGTAAAAAGTGCGGGAAATGGCAATGGTCGGGCGTATTGACCTTTTAGCAGACTTCACGAGTGAATCAAATGAATAAAATGCAATTATTGACTCTTGTAGCCTAAAGCCTTCAGCTCCGTAATAAATCAATTTTCATAAATTCCCCGACCTTGACCAAAGTTGAGCATGAACGTAGAACCCCCCCCCCCCCTTATTAACTTAATTTTCTGATTTATTTTTTTTCCTGTAAATTAAATCTGATTTTATACAATATGAATGGAATAGAAAATAGAATACAATACTCACGTACCGTGCATGCCTTTTGCTTTTGGTGATTAGTTTTGTAGAAACTCTGCTTGTTGATTTTACAGTGGTGTAAATATTACTGCTGTAAATGTTTACACATGTACGGTTGTGATGTACGTACATATGATTCTACATAAGAGTAGGTCAACATTATCAACACACATACATAATTATGCCTTTCGATCCAAGTTATTTGTTTAATCCCTTCCAATCTACGTTTAAAAAAACCTTTATGATATCTACTAGCTTCACACTTCAATTTTGTCCATCGTTAACAATTTATCTATATAATGTATGTATATATATATATATATATATATATATATATATACATATTTATTTCAAGATTGTCTATACTTCTTTTACTTGTTTACTGTTTGCAATGTGCTCATGATTTTCGGTTCATTTCGTGCTTTGTTTGAATTATGTATGTGCTGTTTCATCATTATGATTTTCCCGGCACAATTATATCATATATTTTATCTTTATAGTTTAGGAAATTAATAAATAAAATTGAACATGAAATTGAAAGCTTATATTAAAATGTAATCATATAAATGTGAATGTTGAATAGAAAGGCAAAATTCTTATCATGATAATACATACAATCTTATCCTTGATAACGTCGTATACACAGTAAGTACAAAACATATACAACCTTCAGACAAGTATATGTGATAGCATCCGTCTTATTACAGGTCCCTTGGTATCCCTTCAGGTGATGTATCTTATAAAGGTATCATCCGACTCAGTTCGACCGTGAAACAGCTTTCTCTGCAAGTCATAAGGGAATAACATGTTTATCCCCACTTTGTGGAGAAACCGCGATATTATAATATTATACACTTAACAATGTCCCCTATAAATTCTGGTTGTATGCAAGGGAGACAGCCTAATTAGGTAATTTCTGCGTTATGTCCGTAATTAAACATGGCTGTTCGAAACGTTTTCATTTTTCCCATGTTGATTTCCCCTGTGTATTCAATAACAAAAGCTAACAAATATGCAATTTGCTTGATAATGGTTGTATCGCTTCATTAAGTTCACATTACCACGGTGATATTAAACGAGCTATGAATTTCATTATTGTTGTAAGTAACAATTTTATATGAGTATATTGTAAACTGCTTTATTGCAAAGAAAATATTAATGTTCTTCCAATTGCAACATGAATATATCATGATGAATTATCAATGTTTTTAAAATCAATTATTAATTATTAATAAGCTTTTTTGATGAGTATTCAATATGGGTAATGAAAACAATTGCAAGGGTATCAATAGTAATCACACCATGAGTGGTTATCCACGGAGGATTTTAATAAAAGTGTTTATTTGATAATCATGATAATGTCTGCAATATAATGTATGATGTTTAAATGAATTTGCCTATTTCTGAATGTTTTCATTTCGTCTTTGAAGGAAATCCTTGAATATATATTTATTTTTACCATGATTTGCACTTAAATCATAATAAAAACAAGTGACTTCATTCAGACTGATGCGGAGAATGCAATCCCTTTAAAACCCAAACCGTGAATCAAAAACAAGAAATACACAATCGCCCACCTTTGTTGGGGTTTGTACTCAATGAATTATACACCAAGCGTTCCATATCTCGAATATAAATGACTTTCATTAATACGGAAGAATTAGGACGATCCTATTCAAAATGCAGATTGGTTTGTTATCATTTTTCCCCGCCTCTAGCTCAGTACTCGGGGAAACGATGAAATCGGGTTTCTATTGTTTAGATATCGAACAATACCGTGTTGAGAAAAGAAATTAATTACATGTACATACGACAAAGTCTATAGCTTATCGTAATCGTCAATTTTTGTCTTTCTGCTTCCTTTTCCTTCTCTCTCTCTCTCTCTCTCTCTCTGTGTCTCTTTCTCTTTATATTTCTCTCTTATGACCTATTTACTAATTCTTGTAAACCGTTATTATTCATCAATATCTTTTTTTCAGTTAAATAAATAGATATTTTTCAAGCTTACTTGGTTTTCATTTTTGTTAGAATTGCAGTTATAATGAGAAATGCAGTATAATATGATCCATCAGGTTTATTCAAACATTTGCCCTATTTTAGGTTATTTTTCTCTCTGACTTTTCTTTCTTGTTTTTGATTATGTATTAGAGTTGAATAGTTATGTTAGTTGTATCATAAAAAGGATGAAACTGTTTTTCTATATAGTACTAGTCTTCTTGTCTTGCATATATATTATGCCAATTTAAGTCCGTATTGATCATTTTTTGAATTAGTGCAAATGCAATTCATTCTTAATCAGATCATTGTGTAATATCTCTTCTTACCATGTTACCTAAGCATGGCATGTTTTAATCATTCTTTTTATTGTGTATCCTTGTTTTAGTAACATGTTCTTATCTATTTAAATGTTTAAAAAATTATTACAATATTATATGTTAACATGATTGATCTTGCTTCGGCTGCTTTGTATGGGAAATGCGCACATATGCTATGATGTATTTAATAAAACATTGTGGAATTAAATTAAAAATTATAATTTATCAACAACTAAAACCAGCGTTTAGAATGTTTAATTCATCTTGAATAAATAAACATTAAAAATAAAGCAAAAATTGTTTTTTCATGACGTCGAGACATAATACGTAACGAATAAAGTTCCCTTTCCACGACCCCTATGGCGCACTTTCATATTTCTCACCGGCAGGCGTTCAGTATATTACTTTAGCACGTATATCAAGCGGCTTTCACAGACCTCTCTCCATTCCACTCACTTTTCCCCGATATCAAACCATGTGTGGAATATCATTCAATAAAATGTTAGGTTGATAGCTAACAATGAATTAGTAATCAGGACAATGTTGTTTAAGAACGTTTAATAATGCAAAAATGTACGCTGACTTGGATATTAGATTGTGTTTTCTTTTTTACTCCGTCAAAGGTTATTATTAATAAGTTCTACTTGCTTGATCATGTATTTGATATTATCACAGACAGTCACTGCATACTTATATATAGGTGTGCTTATCACATCAGCCGTATAGGACGCTGATGGAATTATAAAAAGATTTTCATTAAGAGATGATATTTCTTGCTTACATCTTTTTGGATCGCATCCGACACAAGAACTGCCTTTGAAAGTAGAACATGATTAAGTTGATAAGAAGTGTGTTAAAGTTAGGCGCTAGATAAAGTTTCATTAGATTTGCTATATCATTCTCTATATAATCGTAAAAATAAATGAAATTGTTAATAATTCAGGGCAAATGCATGGTTGATATTTTACTAAACATAGCCTAAATAATCACAATGTGTAAACGAGAAGAAAAAACACTGAAACTATCGCACTCGAACACTCAGAGAATTATCTTGCATCAATAAAGCAACTGAACCGTTAGCGCATAACAGATTCATCATAACTTGACATTTCATATTAATCTCTTTGTTCACATCCACACTCAATATGGCAATATAACAACTGCACGCTGGGCTACTAACATCATCTTAGGAATCCACTTAACTTACATCCCCACTCCCAGTATACACTAACAATATAACTACAAGAATCCTCAATGCATAATCTAATTCATTCTAACTGAAATCCATTACCGGTTTTATTATTGTAATAAGATTTAATGGGATCATGCAACAAAGAGGATGTTTCAAAGAAAATATAGAATATCAGGACTTTTAATAAATTTAAGGAAAAGAACAGACTCCCTCGTTTTCCAAATCTATCAGACTTATAACATGATTTTATCAAGATTTGTTTCACAGTTGTGACATTTAATTAGCTCCTGATGTGAAACTCTTAATAAAGAACAAAATAGTAATGAAACCCATTATAAATCATACATTTTCAACATTACCTATTTGATTTTGTTCTCACCATTTAATTTACGATTCTTGAATTCACTGACGGAATAAAAAAAAAGACAAATGAAGCTTTTTTCCAAAGAAATGATGAAGGTCTTCGAAAATAGGTACATGTACATGTATAATTGTATCTTAATAATGTCGATATATCAGGAGGAATGCACTAAATATTCGAGTACCAATAAACGAAACGAATGGGATACGTGTTGAACCTTAAAAAGCACCCTCTCCCTTATCAGTCATGCGCCCATACTAACTACGTCCATGCAATATTCATGATAGGCAAGTCTGAGGCAATGTTCGACTCTATAAATCAGGGTTAGAACACGGCATCCTAACGGAAGGTAGACGTCGTGGAAGTGACAGGCATTCAGTCGTACACGTGGGAGAAATTGTTTTTTATTCGCAAGCAGAAAGTAGAAACTTCCGTTCTCTTTCCTGTTTCATTTTTCTCCAGGCGTGCTGTTACCAAGCGTCTACCATTTAGATCTCTCAAACGGAATAATGTATACAGAAAAGCAAGAAAAGATGCTTAGCTAGACAGTGAGGAAAATTAAGGAAAGAAAAAGAATGATGCGATAATTTAAAAGTGAGAGGGGATGACAAGGTAAAAAAAGTTGTGTGTGTGAATGTGACTGTGTGTGTGCGTATGTGTGTGTGTGAGTGTGAGTGAGAGAGAGAGAGAGACAGAGAGGTAGTATGTAAACGCTGAAATGGATTGAATTTATAACGATTTGGAATTAGGTGAAAAGGGGTTTTGAAAATGACTGCGAAAGAATGTGAGAACAAGGTGTTTGATGATGATGTGCGGGTGTGTGTGTGTGTGTGCGCGCGAGAGAGAGGTGGTGTGTGTGTTTGTGTATCTTCAAGAGAGATATGGGAACTAGGGAGGGGAAGAGCTTGGGAGGGAGGGAAGTTTAGAGTATGCTCAATATAGTGTATGTAGGTCTAAATCGCGATTGATGTTTATACCATCCCATTTTAAAGAGGCAATTTGCTATTGAGTCCTCGATGATGTTCCCGTTTCAGAGATTTATGTGATTGATTCTTATTTGAGAAAGAATACAGCCCTTTCAAAATCATCAGTAAAAGTCACAACTTCAAAAATAGCAATTCATTCCTACTATGTCCGGTATATATATTTGAGTATCTGATAAAGTATGAATGGTATTCAACATTTCATCTTTTGCAAGCTGCGCCTTGAACATTTGATTGTCAAGTGGATTTGGTGCCTTATAAATCTGATGTATCATTAGTATTATTATTAACATCATCTATAAACAGATCGCTCGAGGTAACTTATCTTTATAGGCATAATGCAAGATGTATTAAAACATGGTTCCATTCTCTTTAAATTGATATTATGTTCACCGCAATTCCTCACTGATGGACATCTCATGAAGATTTCATGTACAGTGGTTAAAGACATCGAGCAATACCTAAAGGTTATCATTTAGGTATATTACCATGGATAAGTTTTTAGCAATGCAAACTTCCCCAAGTGTTTGTTTAGAGATTTATACATAATGTCATGTGCTATAAGACTAAGCAGGTTTACGTCATGAAAATGAGTTGAGAGTCGTTTCTTCAATCAAGATTACCAGATATACGTCATTGATGGCGAGAATGATTAAGCTACAGAGGTAACCATTGCAAGTTGTTTTGGTATCTGAAATGGAGGGTTGATTAATAATTAAACAATTCATAGTCTAACGGGAATTTTGCAGTATGGGAGTAGGCTACAGCATCCTTGCTTAAATAAAGAAATAGAAGGAAAAAAATACCCAAAATAGACAGAAAAGTAACCAGAACAAAATACAAGACCTATGACAAACCTTTTTGATCGAATATTTATGGTGATAGTTTCCACTTGCTAGTAGTGAATTCATTGATAAGCTCGGAACCAAGCTTGAAGTGGTGGAATTAGGTACTATACCTAAGAGCGAACATGCATATTTCTGAAGATGTTTGCGATCATGCTGTGCATGTTGCTAGCTTCCAATTGAAAATGTAAAGACAGTTGAAAAACATACAGAGAGGGGAAGTGGGAGGGGAGAGAGAGAGGAAGAGAGGAAGTGGGAGGGGAGAGAGAGAGGAAGAGAGGAAGTGGGAGGGGAGAGAGAGAGGAAGAGAGGAAGAGGAGTGGAGGATAAGAGATGCATACAAGGACCCTTGTCGTGGTTTCATTATATCGAGGATGAATGGAAGAGGGTCTGAACGCAATTAGAGGAAGCTGGAATCACGGCGTCTTATGGCAAGCACGTACTAGACAAGCAAATACTGCCAATGACAAGGGCAAACTCTGCCATACAACCTGTCAGAAACTTGATATTCAATAACCCAATTCTTACCCTCATTTGACTACTCCATGTTACCCATTTTACCTTAAACAAAACTGTAGCATCTTAGTTAAAACCTAGGTAGGGATATCAAAAGTAATCCATTTATTATGTTGTACGAAACAATACCCATTTTTACATTGCTTTAAAACTAGGGCTATCAATCTCAATGGTAAATTTGAACTTACTCTCTATTTTCCTCTTGAAAAACCATTTTTTATAATTGAAAGAGAGGGGTGAGGACAGAAGAGGACTTGGGGTTAATATGTATTTTTTTCGATATGAATGACTGCCCAAATATGGATCAAATCAGTCACATTAAACAAATCTCATATCGAGTAAAGCTTCAAAACAAATCCAACAGTTAATACTTATTACACTGTCTTCACCATGTCTTATTGCGTAATGGAAGAAGTCTGAAGGCATAGACACCATCCTCACCCACACACCCACACTCAACCACACACACACACGCACACACGCACACACGCAAAACCAAAAAGGTTTTACGCTGTAATGACACTACTAGGGACGGTCCACATTTATTTGAATTGAGCGGTATACTCTTTCAAATATAGATTCTTATAAGATTGCCACTTTAGACAAAGGACATTCCTTTTATTATATTATAAGCAGTACGTCTGTTCAGAGCCAGAATGACCTCAACTATGTGGTAAAGTATATGAGTTGATGCCCTTCTGGCTCCAAACAGAATCCATTCCAGTCTTTGTTATGGTGAATGTTCACCGATGGACGTTTACTAAACGTTTTCTGTATATACAGTATTTTCTATATAATTCGATAATTTGTGTATGCTTATTATTCTGTTGTAACCAACGTACAAACCATTTTTCTTCCCCAGACGCGAAGCCGCTGTGGAGATCGAAGGCAGTTTCTTAGTCCGAATCGTGTATGACGATGTCTTATCTTATGATCTAGTCGGAGCCGCCGTCAAAGTACTCGGTAAGGATATCATAATTACTTTTAGATTAGTTAGGATCAAAATAATCTTTTAATGTCCAATCCAAATTGTATTAAGTAAAACCGAAAATGGAAATTCTTTTTGCCCAATTGATCGTGGGCCCGGCAGCCACTGAGCTGCGCCAGATCGATGTTGCTCTTTTTCCCTTATTGTTGAACGCCAAACAAGGTAACAGCTACTCCCGTCTTATAACGTCTTTTGGTATGACGCTGCCGGGGTTCGAACCCACGACCTCCCGGTTGTGAGGCGGACGCTCTACTGACTGAGCCAACACACTGGGTCATATCGCCTGTTTAGAATAAGAAGGGTCTTATTAAAGTATAATGTTTTCTGTAGAATTGAAAGGCTCTTCTCATTATCAGCCGTGATATTCAAATATATGTAGTATATAGAAAGTTTATTTTGCGAAGAAAGCAAGAATGCTAACCAGAATAATAAAGTTTCAAAACACCAGTAGGCCTACCTTTTTTAATTAGTGAATATTGTTGAAAGCTACATTCCATCCGGTTAAAAATCACAATTGTTAGCGAGAATCCCCCAATGCATTTGAGAAAAGTTAATATAGGCCTATAATTTTTGATATATGAGAAATCAGTACATTTAAAATTCGTGATTTGTATATGCGTCATTATAAATATGTCAGTTTTACGCCTAATAAGTTATTTGTTTGTTTCCCTTTTACAATCATAAATAATCTCGTTCAGCAATTTTGGCTGAATAATTAATAATCGTTCTGTTTACTATTTTCCTTCGACTCGCATAAACACGTAAAACATGCCTCTTAATTATGTTCATAACAGCACTTTTGGTCGGCCACTCAAAATAAATCAAATGGTAACATAATATGGGGTTTCACACAAATAAATGACCCGGGGTCAATGTTGTATTCCATTTCATGAGAGCGTGCCTTCTGTAGTCACACATGAACAATATCAATTACGAATAATACACTTTTAAAAAGAAACTAAAGATACGTATGCCTTGAATCGGTAATGTTATATTCTATTCCCTGAGGAAACAATGATTATTTGATTCTCTCATACTCACTCTCTCAATCCAAATTCGTTTTCTTTCTGTTTCACTCTGTACCACTCTCCTATATCCTTTTTACTGTTATGTTTGTGATTTGAGGATTTAATGAGAAAGAGAACACCTTGAAAAGAAAATGGCATCAATAAGATAAAGCTGTCTTGCATATTGTTCCTCTCGTCTCGGAACACCTAAGCCCGCTTGTCAATACAATGTCAAGGCCGAAAACAGTATCTTCTTTTACGCTAGCAATTTACCACACTCGGGTCAATACTGTGAATGAATTATATTGTTTACACTCTGAAAACAAAATTAGGCAGATCTAAGATATTTTTTAAAAAAATCAGTGTATCAAAAAATGGCTTTTTTATTATCAATACATAAATGATTAATCATTTTATCGTCCAATACGTTTCTGATTTTGATAACGATTTTTAAGAAAAATAGGATAGAAAGGATGAGACCCAGCTTAGCCAGATAATGATCGGTGGTGTGAGAGATATTGAGGAGGTCAAGCGACGTCCTAGAGAGATGCTTTCTAATAATCTCAGAAAGAGCTTTTCAATTAAATATCATCGCATAGGTCGTGCTGTGCTCAATCAACGGTAGTCTCATTTTGAAAGAAGCATTTGGTGTTGGAGAGAAGAATGGTATCAGGCACGATGTACCTTCTTTTATTTTATTTTCATTATCACCTTTATTGTGCAAAAACAAAGGGGAACACACAATAATTCTAGTTTATATGTTGTAGTTGTTTTTTTGTTTTTTGTTTCGAAATCGGATAAATATATTATACAAAGAAAAATATACAAAATAAAGTATTTATACATGTACATAGATAACAATCAGAGGAAAGCACAATTCAACAATGTGTATAGAACATTTTTGTTCTTCCTTGGGGTCCTTTAAAAAAAACAATGCACAGGTCAATACAATGAAGGACTTGAAACATGAAATATAACAAAAAGTATTTTAAAACAAATTTTCCTATAATATGGGCAAGCTGGGTTGATTTGAAAATTCATCTTTTTAAGATCAATTCATGACAAGATTAAGATATTGCACAACTTATCAAAGGGCCCACATCAAAATGTGTGATACTCCTGAGTTACGGAGGGGAGGGAACGGTTGTCACTCAGTAAATTGATATATATTGTACAAAATCGATCGTAGATCTTTCTCAAAATATTATTCAACAAAACATCATATACAATTATACAATGCAATAAGTTAATATGCAATTTCCACTCTTTTAACAGATAAAGCCACTTCAATTGTACAATTCGTGTTAATACGTTATTATGTTCTTATGTAGGCTTACTGAACAAATGCAAAGTGTTTAAAATAAATTTCTATCTTTGAAAGGGTATAATAGACCACTCTGAATTTAAAAAGGGAGGTTATATGACAAATAAGGTCATCATACCAATAACAGTAGTTTTTATCAGACAAAGACGGATCTGGATTTAATCTTAAAACAAACGAAGTGCAAATAAAATTACCAGATCGCTGTAACGTTCCGATGCTCCAAAAGAAAACCCTTTAATAGCTGCCATCCCTAAAAATTTAAATAAAAATAATTTGAGACTTGGAGCTAAGACTAAGTTACCTTGAAGGAGACGTTGGCCTAACCGTTATCCTCCAAGAAGATGAATAAGGCATGTTTTCATCAGCTCGAGATTTCCAAATAACCTGCTATGAACTATCCCGATTGCAAATTATCCAGTTAATTTGAGTCTTCATCAGCCCGAAGTTGCAATTAGCGGGATATTTGGTAGAGATAATCATCCCAAGATATCTTAGGCTAGATGGCAAAATATCCCGCTATTTGTCCGGTGCGTCTTCACCAGCCGGAAGACTCGCACTCTGCGCGAACTCTGAGCAAAAATTTTCGAGCTCGAGCTCGAGTTTCAAGTTTCGAGCTTCAGTATCGAGCTGATGAGGACACGATTTGTAACTTCGAGATTATTTCCCACATCAGAAATAGCGGGCTATTTGGCAATCTCGAGCTGATGAGGACAGGCCTAGATGATGCCCTCCTCACACTAACCAAGGCTCGTCATCGTTCTAATGTCCCACTCCTTCATTGCGGTTGACATATGAACATCGCAAATCAATATGGCTCGAAGACCATTTATCTTACAGCTCGACAGAATATAGTGACAACGGATTGAGAAGAGCGATGACACCTTATTTTGTGACAATAATCCGACAGAGGTGCTTTTATTATTGTTTGGTTGGTCGGTTGGTTTATTGAAAATTTGATTACAATAGATATTCTTTTAATATATCGCTTTACGCTGCAATGCTGTTTTCCAATGGGTCCTAAACACTTGTTGAATATTTGTTATACTATTGAGAAACATTTTAAAGAAAAAAACAAATAAGACATGTGCTATACATCAATCATTATTTCTAATACTCTTCTTCCTTTCACTTTCACTTTTTTTTTCTCTCTCTCTCTCTCTCCTTGTCTCTTTCGTGTCTTTTCATTTTATTTTGTCTTCAGAAATAAGTGCCAATGATCTGTTGGAGGCATTCGGTCGGATGTTCTTTGAATTTTGCGTCGAGTCTGGCTACGACAACATCTTGAACGTCCTCGGTTCAACCACACGTCACTTCTTGCAGAACTTAGATGCTCTCCACGATCATCTTGCCTCAATCTACCCAGGAATGCGAGCACCTTCATTCAGATGCAGTACACGAGACAGTGATGGCGCTCTTGTCCTTCACTACTACTCCGAGCGACCAGGGCTGGAGCACATCGTCATCGGGTTGGTACGCAGTGTAGCAAAGACCCTCCATGGCTCCGAAGTCCATGTTGAGATCATCAAGAATAAAGGCGAAGACTGCGATCATGTTCAGTTTGCCATCATCGAGAAGGTGGAGACAGCGAAGATTGAGAAGCAGGCTCGACAGAACTTACTGGCTCTCTCCAAGGAACCCAAAATCAGTCCATCAACACTGTGCAGGATCCTGCCCTTCCACATCATGTTCAATGCTGATTTACACGTAGAGCAAGCGGGTAACTCCATTCAAAGGATTGTACCTAACATCATTAATCCTAACTGCAGAATGACGGACTTATTTCACATCGTGCGCCCTCACATGGAGTTCACCTTCAAGTCTATCCTCAGTCATGCCAATACCATTTACGTGCTGAAGACCAATCCTGGTGTTGTCAACCCTAACAACCCTCGCAACGGCTCCATCCCAGCACTCAAGCTCAAAGGCCAGATGCTCCACGTACCCGAGTCCAATGTTTTACTATATCTCTGTTCACCACACGTCATCAATCTTGATGAGCTGAGGCAACGTGAACTATACCTGAGTGATATCCCATTGCATGATGCTACAAGAGACCTGGTACTGATCTCAGAGAGGTTTGACGAGGAGTACAAACTCACCCAGAAGCTAGAGATCCTGACAGACAAGCTACAACAGACCTACCGTGAGATCGAGAATGAAAAGAAGAAAACTGACAGGTATAAGCACTAAATAATAATCACTAAACTCATTCAGGAGCCTTTCGGAAACTACAATAATGCATTGTCTGTTTCGATTTTGTCTAAATATATTGTCCCACATTATGAACAGGCCCGACTGATAATTGAATTATGTGTAGAAAGTAAAGTAAAGTATTTTCAGTGTGCTAGAACTTTAAATATAGCATTATATAATCGATTACAGCCCTTTATATCTCAATCCAAATGACAACATAGGAATCAAAGCATAAACGTCAAACAAATGTGAAGAGAAGTACAAGAAAGTTGATTCACCGCTGATTAAAAAAAAGAACATGCTCGCGTGTCTGTTTTACATTATGTGACGGAGTGCTGCAGGGTGAAGATTTCACATTCTGTTTTCGATTAAATCCCGTGCATCCTCTTCAACTAATATCTCTCATTGTTCTGTCACTCATCCTCTCTAGGCTCCTCTATTCCATCCTCCCTCCATCCGTTGCTAACGAGTTACGTCATCATCGACCTGTTCCCGCCAAGAAGTTTGAGTGTGTGACTCTGATGTTCAGTGGGATCTTTGGGTTTGGAGACTTCTGTCGTCGCTACTCACACGACGCTATGAAGATCGTCAGCCTTCTCAACAGTGTTTACACCAAGTTTGACGTCCTTATGGAAAATAACCCAGACGTCTACAAGGTGACCATTTTTTGCAATATACAGACGAATGATATGTCAACTCTTTTGAGCCTACTACACGCTTAATTTTTGTTTCTCTATATTTGTTATGTTTTATTTGTTTAATACCATTATTGTACAGTAAATAAATTATGTGGTATATTTTGATAAGGGATGGTAAGCTATACTACTATAGATAACGTATGCCATATCATAGTAGAATAGTACACGGCGTGAAAATAAACAGACTTTTTCAAAATGAAAACAGTATATTACATTGAGACATCATAACGCACATACAATTAAACTGATATACACTTTATAAAAAAGGGTTATAAAGAATAAAAGTTAATTAACAAGAACGGAAAGATTTGATGAATAATTTTTAGGAATGCAGCGTTTTACTTGTTTTCCGTGGGGGAAATATTAGTATGATTTACTAGTTCTTTTTTATTTTAGATTTGTGATTTAGTGAAAATGCCAGCAAATGTGTTTAAGAGGGAAATGTTTAAATAGAAATGATTTCACAGTTGCAACCGTTATGTTTGGAAGACTATACACCACGCTGTGTCCAATACCATACGGCTATACTCATCAAGGTATACTTACTTTAATAATGGTTCAGGGGCAAACTGGTATTCGAGTATTTCGGGTACGACTCTGAGTAAATAGTCGAAGTGGTATTAGTAGTAGTAGTGGTAGTAGTAGTAGTAGTAGTAGTAGTAGTAGTAGTAGTAGTAATAGTAGTGGTGGTACTAGTAGTAGTAGTAATAGTAGTAGTAGTAGTAGTAGTAGTAGTAGTAGTAGTAGTAGTAGTAGTAGTAGTAGAAGTAGTAGTAGAAGAATTAGTAGTAGAAGTAGTAATAGCAGTAGTAGTTATTGTCGTAGTTGTTTTCGTAATTTTTAGTATGATATTGCTATCTTCCATAACCTTTTTATATCACACTATTTCCCTCTGACGTATTTAGGTAGAGACAGTAGGTGATAAATACATGGCAGTAAGTGGTCTACCCGTACCGTGTGCTGATCATGCCAAATGCATCGCTAAGATGGCTCTTGAAATGAAAGAACTCTCTGCAGATGTCATCATGGAGGGTGACCCTATAGTGGTAGGTTTCATTAAAATACAAGACACTGGTTTGCATCCAAACTTACGATTGGTTGATAGTTATACTTCTTTACTGAATTAGAAATATAGAGTTTTCCATTGCTAAACGGATTAAAGATTGGTCTCAATTTTTATACTTGCTCTTTTTCAAACGTGATATAATCACTAGGGCTTCTACCTTTGTAGTTCTATTGGTTTGTATAGCTCAGGTAACGCCATGACGCTCCTAGCACTCCCCCCAAAAATATTTGAAGAAATGTTATGAAGCTTATTATTCGTCCATAGTAATTAGCAGTGATACATAGGTCAATTAAATGATACACAGGGCATGTCTTGAATGAAAAAACAGGATCAAGTCGTTTTTATGCATATGTAAATGTGTGATAAATTTCTTTCACATTTTCTTGAAAAGACGTTTTCAGTCTTTGGACTTTTTGACGAGTTTGAATGAAAATCTAATTTGAATTGAAATGAATTGAAATGAATTGAATTATCATGAAATCTTCAGAAGATTCATGAGACAATACGTACAAAGGATCAAATCTAACTTAATAGTTCTTGCAATGCCATAGGGTTAATGCACCTCCTTTATCTCTATACAAAATTGAAAATTCTGAAATGTTTGGGAATGAAGATAATGATGATAGCCTCAGGAAATTTCTATCATATCCATATAAATTTCTCTTTTGTGAGTTTAATATATTGATAAACTGCTTCCAACCTTCTCGTATAATCCAATATCGAACCCTGCCAACGATGAAGTACATTCTTGGATGAAATATACCGAGTGGCCAAAGGTATTTGGCATCGGGAAAGATGGAATTAAATTATGGGCTCATCCAAATAAAAACTTTCCGCTTGAATAGAATATTTCTTTAACGGCCATCTTCTGGAAGATCACATATTAAAACAAGTTTCTTCCTTCCTATGCCGGACTCAATCAGTTCTCTGTTTTTTTCGTCTTTTATTTAAATTGGAGTTGTCTTTGTATTGTTTCATCCTGTTTGTATTTACGATTCAGTTTAACATAATACATTTGATGGTTTAATTCGATGATATGTCTTTTGTTGTGGACTGTGTGGCTCCACGTACCATTATATCTACCCCTGTCAACAAAATGTGAGAGATAAAGGATATTTACAAGAACGTTGCCTTGCTTAATGTACTTTTTTGGCGTGCATTATTCCAATAAAAAGCCTTTCTGCACATTAAACATAATTATTGATGAATAGTTATGAATATTCGCAACATTGTTTTTACAAGATCGACTTGTCCTTTATTAATCAATGTCCTTTCTACACCTGATGTAGACATCCCTGAAAACTTCAGGGGACTGGTAATATAGTAAGGATGGTATAACATTGATTGCGAGGGTAACACTGTGCTTTCATAAATTAATCAATCAGTCAATCTATATATCGATCAATTTATCTAGCTATGTATCTATTTATCTATCGATCTATTTATCTGCCTATCTAATATAATATGTCCACTTTCTCCCAGATCAGATCGCCATTGGTTATCTACAGTGAAATAGTGGCAGGATTGGTAGAGCATCCTATATGCCATTGTAACACTAAAACGCTCTCAGAATCTAATCCTTCAAAGCCTCACTGTCCTACTTGTAGCTTCTTGCTCCCTCTTTATAGAAAACTTCCCCAAACGGTGCCTGTTGGTCCCCATGATCCTCTTTTTCTTATGTTAGTTGAGAGCTGAGTTAATGAGATAGCCACCTGTCAGTGACCTCGCTGTGTGGTCTAATCCCTTCTGGCCCAGTAGTATTGACTGTCTTTAATAACTCGATCAATGTCCTCTCCTTTTCCTCTCTGATCAGATCACCATTGGTGTCTACAGTGGAGAGGTGGTGACAGGAGTGGTCGGACAACGTATGCCGAGGTACTGTCTCTTTGGTAACACTGTAAACCTCACCTCCAGGACAGAGACTACTGGCATCACGGGCAAGATCAACATCGCCGATACTGCATACGAGTGAGTCTTGATTTGATTTTTTTTTTATCTCTGCAATTTTTCCATATAAAATATAACTGAATAACAAAGAACATAATTATAAATGTAAGGTATAATACAACATAAACAAACAATAATTTCTTCATGTCAAAATGTTTTTTTTACATAATATATGTGTATATAATAAGGAAACTTAATATTTCCATAACATATAATCATAAATTTAAAGTATTATCCGAACTTTTCTATTGGAAAAGTGCAAGAGACCGCAATCATAAGCAAAGCTTGACAAGGATAAGCATGAGAACTTCTTCATTGGTGTGTAGACTGTCCACATAACCATTAAGTAGCCAATATTAATTTGTGTAAAATGCTCACAGATAGTTTTGCACACCAAAATGATGAAGATACATATTCTCCCTAAAACCTGACCATTGACAAGAACGGTGCTTTTTCAGGCCAAATGATCTTTGTTCTCAGTTTAACATGTAAAGATACAAAATCGGATTTACAGACCGAATTTATAGCCACAAATTGTCGGATATTTGTGGTCAGAGTGGTTGAAAGCGTTTCTTTCACCATAATGATGATGGCAATGTTATTTAAATTTGGTAATTGATCCTTAATAACAGTTTCTTTGGCGAAGCATGGATTCAATCTGTTTGTCGTTAAGACGATATTTTCCCTTAGATAACACATTTTCTTATGATATTGTTGTGTTTTAGTTGTTTGATGGAGCCACAGAATGCGGACCCTACCTTCCAGTTTGATTTCCGAGGTCTAATCAACATGAAAGGCAAGCCTAAACCCTGCCCATGCTATCTGCTCTCAAGGAAACCAGCTGAAGCTAAACCTGAACCATAAACATGCAGCCTAGCTCAAGTCAAGACATTAACTGCTGAATCTATATCATTCTGATCAGAGGAGATAGTGTACGGTTTGAACTTGTCCACAAAGTACCATCAAATAAATTAAAGGGTTACACACTATTACCCTTTTAAACCTGAACCATAAATAGCCTAGCTGAAGTCAAGGCAGTAACCGCTGAATCTATCATGCTGACCAGGGGAGATAGTCTACGGTTTGAACTTGTCCACGAAGTACCATCAAATAAATTAAAGGGTTACACTCCATTACCCTTTTAAACCTGAACCATAAATAGTCTAGCTGAAGTCAAGGCAGTAACTGCTGGATCTATCACTCTGATCAAGGGAGACAATGTGTGGTTTGAACTGGTCCACGAAGTACCATCAACGTCAAAGGTTACACACTATTACACTTTTTCGTTTTAACTAAATATCCAGGAATGGTCAATATTATTGCAGTGACTTTGATCAAATTAACACGCGATTATTCAAAATGGAATACTTATATGAACCAAAACCTAACAAGATAGGCCATGAAACTTTCTTTTTTGATTCACTACATGTAAAATGAAAGAGAAATATCCATGGTTGTTATAAAAATCCAAATGCCAATATCACTAACTTGATGACAGTAGATTTTAAATAGTGGTGGGTAATTGTTGACACGCATCTTGTTTTTCAATAATGTATCCTTGATTACTGTCCTCATATTAAGTTAATCAAAAATTCAGAAATAATAGTCGGTTTTTCATGTCCTGAAGATATAATTTAGTGTTCTTCTTTTTGAAAACTGTGAATGCCTATCCAAAACAAAATCAAAACTACGTAGAGGTTTGTGGTTTAAAAGGGTGAACTTTCCGGAAACATAGAGGACAGTTTTAATTTAAATATTGGGGAACGACCTTTCGAAAAACATGGGCACCCACTAGCCTTCTGGGGGCGTTTCTTGAAACTATCCTAAGTTCTTGATCATATGATATAAACATACGTTAGCGAATTTACAGTCGTTTCAAAATGATGTTCATAAACTTTGACTTATTGACACTTTGACAGTTTCGAGAAACTAGCTCCTGGATTCTCCCCACATATATTTCTAATCTTCCAATGTAATATGTCTGTAATTGAATTTGTACAGATGTATATCAATCAGATCTTAATAGTTTATGTCTGAAGACTCACATTTACCGTGAGGCGTGTCGATTTTGAACCCGGTCTTTAAGTGTCTCTTTGTATATACATGTAGGCGAAAACAGAGTTATACTACTGTTTAGACCAGCAAACATCAAATACTAATCTCGATTCTACAACTGATATCTGCGATAATGATGTTGTAAACATAGATTTAAGCTTGATAGGAAAGTGAGTGTTTATATCTTCCAAAGAGTTTGGGGATTAGTGCGTTTTATATATTTGTACAGTATTGTAAATAGAGATAAAGATATGATATTAACAAGATTTGACCAACGTGTATACTATATATTCGGGCTGAATGATTGAAAGTTATGATGTGTTCAATGCAGGAATTATATTTAATTCGAGTGTTTCAAGCAATATCAAAATATTTAGAAGAGAAATAGTATTATTATTATTATTCAATAATCGAATGCACAGACACACACCTGAGGACACATAAAACATATGATATTTATTTAAGAAGATTAATACTGTAAATATTATTTTGTAATAAAAATTATAATCAAAGAAAGTGTGACGTTTTTATTATATCTACCATATAATGTACTTCTTTTTTCTCTTTGAACTCCTTTCTTATGATTTATGATGATACGTGGCGATACTAACCGGGGAAAATCTTATTATAAATAGGTATTACATGAAATATAAACAAGGAAATAAAAGAAATAAGTTAACAGTGCCACGTTTAGCACTTTTTCCTTACTCAGATTAACAAACGACATTTAATACTCAAGGACGGGTTAGAGCAGTATGAGAGGTGAACAAACAAAAAACTATAAGCAGATTTTACAAATTAGAGAATTAAAATATTGGAAAGCATTTAATGATAGCTCTGTTGTTGTTGTCGTTTTTGTTTGTTATAGGCGAGTTCAATTGTTATCTGGAAAACACCCTGTAAAAGAAACATTTAAATTGTGAATAAAGTGAAATTAAAATTAAGGATAAATACATCAATATGAAAAGTTTCTTTGTGTTTATGTATATGTTTTGCTAAAGGTCGTGTAAAGATGGATTACTATCAATGAATCATTATCAAATAAATTGTAGTAAAATGATATAAAAGAACTTAGAAAAAATTCTAGATGGCCATGTGGGACATATTGTTTTAAACAAATAAATTCATAAAACTCAACTCAAGAAAATGTCATAAAAACAGCCCTAGCTGTCATGCTTAAGGATACATGTGTATCATATGTATGGTACATAATATCACTTTGGATTTAGACAGAAGGCTGCTAACTCATATATATATATATATATATATATATATACATGTATATATATATATATCTTTACTTTAACTCTTTTTTTATGCTACACATATTATTTCCCTGTGCCTCACTATATTTGTCATGGAATAGACATACCAAGGCTAAAAGACTAAATTCAAGATTATTCAACTGTTCCAAGTGCAAGATTAATCTCTACCCATGTCAAAAGGATTGTCATGGAGCTAATCAAGATAGGAAATAGGGGTTATTTTGCAAAGCCATTGTGTTGCACAAAGTAAACCTTCCATCAATTGGTGCCTATTGTTTTTTTTGCAAAATTGCACATGTGGCAAAAGAGCTACCATGCAGAGAGGCAAAGAAAAAAACTGAACCGACTCTGAACAGATGATGTGTATTCACTCACGCAAAACACTGCCATAAAAATAATGTACCTTATCAGAAACTAACATGGTTGAGCTCAATCTCATTAACATTTCCTATGCCATAAGAGCCTATTGACATGTTTGCTCGTTTGTCATGTGTATCGATTTTCACATAATGGTAGGCATCAACTGACAGATTCGATTTATGTAGCACAAAAGCTTTGCAAAATTACCCATTGCGAGGCTTAATTACATGTAGCTTTGCGACAACCCTTTTAAGATGTGTATAGATTAATTCTATGCTGGACACCTTTAAAGTCCGTCAACACTACCGGGCCAGAAGGGATTAGACCACACAGCGAGGTCACTGACAGTTGGCTATCTCACTAACTCAGCTCTCAACTAACATAACAAAAAGAGGATCATGGGGGACCAACAGGCACCGATTAGGGAAGTTTTCTATATAGAGGGAGCAAGTAGCTACAAGTAGGACAGTGGGGCTTTAAACAATCTTGAATCCATCGGTATGACTATCGCATGAGCCTGGCAATGTGGCACAAGGACATCATTTTCATAGCTTATTAAAAATTAAACATTTATATTCTATATCACAAAGAGTATTATATCACAAAGAGTAGTTGATTAAAATATGGCAGCGAAAGTAACTGCATGCTGAATTTTGGAGGTCAACAAATTCACTCACTCAAAGCACATCAACATAATACGCTAAAAGCCAAAGCCATAATAAGCACGACATGATTGAGATGACTCCCAATGCCATTGGTATTATTTATTCATATTTTAATATCACTCAAGAGTTTTCACAAAGTGATCTTCAACAAACTGGCAACACCACTTCACAATGCGACTCTCTTTCATGTTTCACATGAAAAATAGGTTTCAATGAGCATAGTCGGATTCTGGAATGAATGATCCACTTTTGCTGGACAAGAAAAGGAAAAATTAATTACAAATAAGGCAATTGTTGTTCATATAAAAAAAAATAGACAAATATCCCTTGTTTATCAAAACATGACAGATATTTGTATTCATTCTGCTTAAATGTCAAATTTATTTAGTATACAGATACTATCACTTCATATATATCATCCTTCTTTTAATTTGACTGTTTTAATTGTTTGATCAATAAAAAACAAAACTTTACTGAATCTATAACAACATCGGCATAATCTCACATACAATAACTATGATTCTTATCGAATCCCATGAATGACAAATTCAATCATTCATACACAGGCACAGCAAAATAAAGATACACAAGTATATTGCACTGTTGATAATTTCTCAAAACATTGGCACAACAGGGGGGTGTTTCACAAAGATCCTAAGTTGAAATTAAAAATTATGGAGAGCTATTTGTAGTCTTGAAATCAAATATATTCAAAAGAGAAAATTCAAGTATTTTAGACTTTTGATAAATTCCTCATCAAGTCGTCCTTGTTTTCACGAAGTGACGGTAGTGAGGAAAATCGTCAAAGTGAATGCAATTTTTTTTCACTACCGTCACTTCGTGAAAACAGCAACGAAGTACATAAAATCTCCTTGATAATAGAAAATATGAATGATTTAAATCAACCTTTTGATGCCTTTTAAAATAACTGTTACAAAATATTTTCATAGATGCTAACAGCTTTCCATAATAGTAAGTCCAACTGAGAGATAAGTTCAACTCAGGATCTTTGTGAAACACCCCCTGTTCTCACAACAGTATACATGTATTTAAGCACATGTCTTTTGAATTTCAATCCATTTGCTAATGAGCCATCGATGTCTGCATTAACCCACTATGTATATATATACCAGTATATATATATATAGTCAGACCTGTCTATAGCGACCACCCAAGGGAAACACATAAAGTGGTCTTTGAAGACAGGTGGTCTTTGTAGACAGGTTCCTTTAGTACATGTTTCAATGAGAAACAATTTTCAAGGGAAACAAAACATGTGGTCTTTGTAGACAGGTGGTCACTAAAGCAAGTTTGACTGTATATGTATTGGTCATTTCATGGGGGGGGGGGGCAATTATTGTGACAGACCAGAAGTGAGAAACTATGTCTCCTATCAACAACCATAACAATGTTTGCTCAAATTGTGTTTAGCATAAAAAGCATAGCCCATTATGTTTAGAAGTACTCTAGCTTCATGGTGAATCAATAAGATTAGACAGCTCTTGCAGAGTTGTGATTGGTCCACACTCATCATGTGATATATATAGTGAGGATTGTAATAAACACATTTTACTCCACGTAACTTTTCTATGTTATGTTGACCACCCGGTCAAATAAGTATATTTTCGCATCATACTGTATCAAGGCAACCCTGCGCGCACTATTAACACATACCAAGTTACACGTACCCACTGTTTGTATTTTCTCAGCTGCGCGCTTTTGACGTGGAAGGCTAGACAGCTTGAATGAAAAGAAAATCGCATTCACCCTGCATTTCATACACATGCAACCATGTGTAATCAAGACTGTCTAATATAACAGACATTACCTGGATAGGGGAATAATATCCACTTTTGGACCACAATGGAGATATATTTTTCCTCATTATCATATTTTCCATAAGCGCACAGCTTCGCAGCCCTTGGGATATATATCTCTCTTCAGCAGTCCAAAGAATGTTTATTGCACACCTTAAAGAGAAGGTTATGTTCTGGGAAAAGGTGAAAAATAATTTGTGAGCATTATCATTCTTATTACGCAAGTGTGGAAGAACATCAGATAAGACATGTTCCCTGAAAAGCATGGCTCTTCAAATGCCTTCATATTCTAAATATGTCATGTAACATCGTAAAACTCGGGGGTAGGTTTTTTACGCCACGTGTTTGTGTAGTCCCATATACATCTTTCTGTGTACAGTGTTTGTAACTTTACCAAGACTTGGCCAAATTTCTTATCATTTTGATGATTCCAGAACCTTGCAATACACACAAATTCTTATATGCTAGATGATCAACCTTTTCTGGTCGATTCTACACCGTTTCTTTCAATATGCAATTGCATGACCAGAACTCAACTTCATCTTTAAGCTACGGTCACAAAGGTTCGTACCAGCGCATCGTTCGTACGAATCTCTGTTTTTCCATTGTCTTTCCGAATTTCCATTCGTAGCAGTTTGTAATGGCATTTGTGACTGAGGCTTTACCAGTAAATATCTGTATATTAAAGACCCAAAGTTTATGCAATGTTTTGTAAACGTGATGTCCATGTAATGCTGGTAAAAAAGAAATTCATTTAAAGCAAAGTTTTGAAAAAGAAAGGACTGAAACAGGAATGATTCTGGCAATGCACTACTATATAAATTAATTGCATTAAAATCTTCAGCAGATGATTTCATCTTCCACGAGTAGCAGAAGATCTCATACCAATGTCACATGGATATCATCATATGTTTTGCCCCAACCTCATGAAATGACCTACATGTATATACTGAATAAAATCAGCCCTGGACACATCATCAATGTCTACATGTAACACACATACCTTAACTCCCATTAGTATTCCGGCTTTTACAACTGCTCTCAATATTACAAAAAAATAAAGGGGAGTCCTCCCCTAGTAAAAAATAAATATGAACAAAATAGGAAACAATTTTTGTCCCCAAAAAAATATTTTTCAAATAGCTCGTAATTAACTTTACAATTTATGGATTTGAGCCCTTTTTTAAAGATAACACATAAAAATGTCATCAAACAGAAATATCATCATGTCTGCAAGAGTATCCCCTTGACTTCAAGGAAGTCCAATCATCAATGTCTTTGATGGATACTTTGTTTCGAGGCAAGGAAGTTGAGTAGTTTGCAAAGAGAGCAGGCCTTTCTCTTAATGTTTTCTATCGTTTGGAAGAAAATGAAGCCGAGGAATTTTCAGGATATCTTCAAGATGCATGGCATGTGTCGACTGCCGAGGATGAAGCTGTTCTGCTTCAAGAACGGACAGCAAACAACTAGTCTTTCTCTAATGGCTTCCTGTTTGGTAGGTTAGGTGCCTCTTGTTTGGAAGCAAAAGATGTCCAGTAATCCATGTCTTCAGGATGCATGGGGTGTGTTGAGGAGAGAAGCTGCTCTGGTGTAAGTATGGTGAAGGATGGGCAGCAAGGTGAACTCCTATCTGGGCCAAGCTGGAATAAAACAAAGCAAAACATTGGAACTTAAACTGCTATCATCACAAAAATATATATCATGCATCGAGAAGAGAAGGCAGAAAGTTAATGGATGGTTCGTTTAATGGTTCGTTTTACCTCACTACTCAGAAAGCATGGGTATTTGCTTGTAAGTATGCAAGTGGGGGACCAACGATTCAAAGACCTCTCTGAGGGACTTGGTAATGAGGATTGGTTCCTTACCCAAGGATACTAGCGCATCGACTTGGTTTCAAACCCGGGCACTCCTGGTTATGAGACGACTGCTCTACCGCTGATTTATCACATCTCCAAATATTCAAGCAGTCTAATTCATGAAAGTGGCCTTTATGTATTTGACATCTCTTCACATTGAGTGAGAGGGGATGGGGGGGATTGGAATACATTGTATCTCAAAATCCAGTCTGCTTGAAACTGTGGCACAATACCCTAAAAGAAGTGTATGACAAAAATTAGATCAATGCAATGCCCTCCAAAGATTTTTAAGGCACTGTCCTAAATCTCTATAAATGACGAAGAGTCGTATAAACATCATTTCAGATTGTTTTCTGAGTAGTCAAGTAAATCAGTGTTTCGTAAAAATTCAGGAAGTTTGTGTCCAAAGACATGGAGAAACAAAGGAGGGATGTAAATCGGATCTCGGTAAATATGGTACTCTGTTGTTGGAAAACAAAACCAGATAAACTTAATTTATGATAATATTATGCTTATATATCTGGTATCCTAAAATGCTTTGATTAATTATCAGCATTTAAAAGTGTATGATTACAAAAGAGTTTCATATTCTATAATATATTGCAATAGTTATTTGATATTAATTTCATGTAAGTGCGTTTGCATTTTTTGATTTAGTTATAGAAATGAAATTATTTGAATTGATTTGAATTGAATTGATGTATGGAGGATACAGATTTTGTATTGTTGTCTTTCAGGAAGAGTAATCCAGTGTACTTCATTTAACCCAATGAGGACTGGATTCTCTAATTCCCACAGGCTTCATACATGGACTGCCCAGTTCCCATACACGATGGGTTAATGATGGACTTACATGCAATCATTTTCACTTTTGGCAGAAGAGGCAAGTTCATGTGTGATATACAAATAATTCATGTTTAAGAGTGTATTAGTGTAATCATAATAATAGTCTGTTCTTGTATAGCGCATAACACATTATGATATAAAGTCTCTATGCGCTTGCAAAAAGCTTCGGAAATTAATACCCTAGCTTTAGCTCCGGTAGCCGTTATCAGAGCACACTGCATTTCAAGGAATAATCCTACCAGTGTAGTGTATATATGCACTGCATGTAGGGCAAGTTATAATCGCATAATTAATGCTTGTCGAGTTCATTGTCCAGCTCATTATCCAGTGGGTTATCACTTTTTTATGGGAACTTTTCTGCATGGTAGGCATGGCAGGAAAGAATGTTTCACAGTCATGGGTGTCATTTGACCAATCAGACTGCCTACAAACTTGAATCAGTTTTTATACCAGACGATAACCCATACCTGCCAACATTTGAAAATAAGAATTAGGAATTTTTAGCGCGATTTGCCTTCGAAAATACGAAATCGCACTTGCAGCGGCAGCATTACTGGCAATACGCGACAAATCTGTACCAAAAAAGCAAATACAAATTGGCTGCTCGATCATGCAGGCATTCAACGCACGCAATATGTGAGCCCTCATTTTTTTTTGAAAAATTAGAATATTCTGAATTTTCAGGTCCTAAAAATTCAGAAAATCAGAATATTCTGGATTATTCGGAAGGATTTGCAGGTATGATAGACCACCTCACTACCTAAGATGACCACGCCCCATAATCCACCTACCTGTAGTGCTACTGCTACATAGTGATCCTCATCTAGGAGCATCTCCTGAAAGACCCAGTTCTTATCCTGCCTGTCTCGGAGGTAGAGTTCTGTATCTATGGCAACGGATGAGGTAGATAGCTCCAGGGTATTCAGTCTGAACTCAGCTCGCTGGAGGTCAAAGCCAAGGCCAATACCAAGAGCTTTGATGTAGCTCTCCTTGAGACACTAGAAAAGAAATGAAACACGGTATGATTAATCAGTCAAACATTGCTGGTAAAGATGGACAAAGATGACAACCGATCATGACTCTGAAATTAAATAACTTTACTTTTTTCACAGAGCAATAATATTGGAAAGTCTTTTAACTACTGAATATGTTCATATTATGTAAGACTGATTGGTTGATAAATCATGAATTGGATTAGAGATCATTGATTATGACACATCCATGTACCCACAGAAACAGGTCACACTATTGTTCATGTCCATATGCATGATATACATAGAGGTGTCGTGATCGAGTGGATATGTCACCGGACTGTGGATCGCAAGGTCCTCGGTTCGAGTCCCGCCGCGGCACTAATGTCCTTTGAAACATTGATCTACATTGGCCACACTCAACCCAGGTGACGTAAATGGGTTCCTGGCAGGAATTAATTCCTTGAAATGCTAGAGCGCCGTAATGGCAGCCGTGCTAAAGCCAGGGTAATAATCAGGAGCGCCAGGAGTTTCAAGTCTGACAGATATGAGCGCTACACAAGAACCAAATATTATTATATTATAATATAAAAAACTAGTTGAAATTGTTGATACTGACTTACCCAGTATCTATAAAACCTATGAAGTTGTTGATATTGAGTCTCTGCAGACATGATGGTGTTCCATTCGTGAGGGGTAAATTGCTTCTTCATGTTTCGAAAAAAGTCCTCCATTTTCTGATCTGACAAGAACAATTTGAAACACAAATTTATTAAATTACATAACCTACTTTTAAAGTTTAAAACATAATTTTCAAAATAATACACTTACATAGATACATTTCAAATTACGTAAAGATTCACAGACTAATAAAGTACAATGATACATAGTTATATTCACTAGCAATAAATGAATGCTCTTATTAGATGCTCTTATTAGACCTAGTAAAACAACAATGAATCAAAAAGGAGTAAGAGAAGATTGTCAGGAGAAAAATGAATTTGAATTTTAAAATTTGTCTTGTGTGACTTTGAGTTATGCTGAGTTAACTGTACATCCATGATAACACTTTACAAACTCTTTTTTTTTGTAAGTTCTTTTTGTGATGAAATGATTGGAAATATATCGAGCCATTCAGTCCACTGACCTAAAAAGTTTACTGGATTAAATTCTTTTGTATGATAACATTTTACAAACTCACTTGGGCGGACAACTTTCATGACATCCACCCCACACGTGAGGGCAGGCTCCGTAGCCAAGACAGCAAAGTCGCCGTGATGAGATGCATTAAAGTTGAAGTTTGGATATGTTGTCTTGTCGATATCATCCATGTTCTTGAGGTAAGGCTTGCCTCTATCTGTCCTGACTAGGTTGATATCTGTCCAGGATATCTTCAAACTTTCATGGATTGCCTTGCGTGCCAACAGCCTCCCTGCCTAATAATCATAAGGAATATATCATACAAATTACAAAAATACTGGAAAATCATGCATTCTAGTATTCTACCCACTTGGTAGATGGTAATATTCAGAGCTCCATTCGAGGTCTACTTGCTATTTATAAGGACCGCTATTTATAAAAGTCCGCTATTCATTTAGTCACGCATTATGGATAGCAGCTCTTATGAATAGTGGTCCTTATGAATAGTGGTCCTTATGAATGGCGGTCCTTATGAATAGCGAGGTAAATTGTCTATGGTTTGCTCGCTATTTATGAGGGCCGCTATTCATAAAGGATCACTATTCATTTCGTCACACATTATGGATAGCAGGTCCTTATGAATAATGGTCCTTATGAATGGCGGTCCTTATGAATAGCGACATTCATATTAAGGATACTTACTTCCAAATGATATATACTGACCCTACAGCTAAAAAAAAACAAGGAATACACCAGTAATATATTAGTAAACTACTCTGCTTTTAACAACAAAAATTAATTGTGTAACTTCCAAAATTACTTGCTTTTAAAACACATCAAAAAAGATCACATTCTCAATCTTATGGATTATATAAGCTCATGACTGTCTTTATTTTCCAAAGGTGTTAGGTAAATATTTTTGTTTAAAGGCAATGAGCTACATACCATAGAAGACTTGGCATCTTTTGTGAAGACAAACTGACCGATTCTATGTTTTTCCTCTGGTTGGATACTGGATGATGCTAGCAACCATTGGGATTGATCAGGCTGCCAGGAACTACACTTAAACGCCCATCTCAGACTGGCCATAATGCTCTGGAAATTAAAGGTGCAAAATTTGTAGAACATTTCTTTCTCTTACAAAATATGGATACAATAATATATAATTGGAATTGAAATAAAATGTTTATCTAAATCACAGCAGAAACTCTCCAAATCGAGTCTTAGTCTTAAAGGAAACCTCACCCTACAAAATAACTGAATTTATTCATAGAAATTTATTAACATTCTTGTCCATTAATAGATTCCCCACCAAAGTGTATGAGAGAGAATGAGAGATATAAAGAAAGATAATCAATAGACAGGAATAGATTTCATCTGTCTACACTTATTCTTTGGGGTACGGTTTCCTTTAAATGCAATGCTCAGATTAGGGATGTTCCTGATTTCATGACCAAATGACAAGGGCAAATGATTCACTGGTTAATATTCATCGTCAAGTTTGAAGTGTTTCCTTTATTTCTCAAAATGATCATTCTGTAAAATTATTAATTGATAGGCAGTATGACATTATTGTTATAGAACCCTGCTTTAAAATCCATTCTAAACCACTCTCAAAAAGAAACTGAAACAAAGATAACATAACAATATACTCCCACACTATGTGTAAAGCAATGGTTTGTTTTGTCATGAATATTCTTTAGGAGCACACTGAATTAATGAACACATGTTATATTCAATTCATGAAGCAATATCAAACAATGGTAGTTCTCACTTTACAAATTATCTCTTGGCTTGTCAGGAATATAAGTTAACTATGGAGTGGGACATGTCAATAATACATACCTCGGTCAATATTCTTAGACTGATGACTCACAAAAAAACAATGATCCAATTTGGATATTACCCTCTAAAACATTATTATAATAATTATCAGAATAACTCCTTACCTTACTTCTGAAACTCCTTAACTGTGCTATTAGATCTCTACTGTGCCAAGGAATGTGGAGTCTTGCAGGTCTCCATGCATGCTGCACTACCAGCACATTCATCTAGTGTGGCCAATTTGAAGATCCAGTCAGGATGTCAGCAATATCCTAACAAAGAGAACAGGAAATCAATACCAGGGGAAAGCCCCAATAAGAAATTGTGTGATTGAAACTCAAAGTGAAAATGAAATAATCTGAATCATATGCTCTGGAAGAAAAGTGATGCCAAACAATCAATTTTGTTAAAAAGTACATACTCTCTGATGAAAAACATTTTTTTTCTTCATCTTTGCAATTAAAAGTTGTCTTTCCTCTTCAACAATATTTAAGTACCTGCATAATTAATATATATACTATTATATGCAGGCACTCATGTTATAATGTCTTCCTGTGATGACACCATGGCAGGTAGCCTTGCTATGTTTAGAAATACATGTACCAGAAAACAACAGACTAAATATGTTGAGCTTTTAACAGTTATCTTTGCTCTACAATAATTGAATCCAGTACAATCAACCATAAATGGCAAATATATATGTGCAGGCTGCATGAGGCAGTGGCTGCAAATAACAAACAAAACATTACTTTTGCTGGGGTTATGGTAAATTAATTCAAAGAACTCGCTTGGTTTCTTGCAGGATACATCTGGACTTAGTCTTGATGTAAAATCCGAACATTCAACATCTATAATTTCTCTTTCCAAGCTACATCAAAGCCCATATTCTTAATTCTTATCCATAGATCAAACAAAAATATTTACTGCTTTTATATATTTTTAATGAGGCTTATTCTTAAGAGCATTTATATACAATAAAGGTACAATGCCGGTCCCATTTACAGGCCAAAAATTAAAAGGTTAAACTCCAGCGGCAATTTAGAACTTCCCTCAATTTCTTTTGGGGAAATTAATGATCATTAGTTGTCAATTCGAATCTAGCGAGCATGTTCGTTTAATTAAATAGTCTGATTTTCAGAACAGTGTACCGATTGGTCAAATGTTTTGTGCTGCGCAAAGATTCAATCAGTTTAATTTTGGCCATTACAAGAAGAGGGTTATTGATGTAGACAAATTCTCATGTACCCTCTACAGTTCATTTTATTTATATTATTACCAAATAAAAAAAGAAGTCAGTCAGTCACTCAGTAGTGTCTCACAGTGAAGTCTAGAAGTCTGCATAATTTGAATACTAGGAACACTTCTAACGTTTAAGTTTCACGGATAGGACATACATGACATATTCATAATTCCTACAAAATTTTACAGAATCTGATGTTGGCTGCAAAAGAGATACTGTATTATAACAGTAGAATAAAAAACTTCAACTGAAATAAATCCAAGGGATTCAGTGCACATACATGTAAACCAAGCATTCTTTCTGACAAGCATATTGCATTAAGTGTTCAAAGTGGTCAAACACCCCTTAACTTATGAACTTAAAGGACGCCAGACATGCGTGGAGTGCGGTAGACCACGCCAGACATACATGATATGCATTCATTGTCAGCTCGCTAGCTTCTCCCAAATCCTGACAAAAGTCGGGCTCACGATTTTTTCTGATTTTCAATGTGCCTGCCGTGCATCGTCTATGTGTGACAAGGCCATAAGCAGGGCTGTCAACCCTCCCGCATTTGGAGGGAGTCTCACGCCACCACGCTCATTCTCTTACCGTCCCACCAGCTCGTAGCAGGAGCCTCCCACCACTACAGCCCAGCTGTACACAGGCGGGATAGAGCATCGATGTGGCTCTACTTCATCTAAAAATTAGATGATGTCTGCAACCCACTCTATTTTTATGAGCACCTTATTATTTTTGATTTTTGAACTCTGCATCAGTTGTGACGTTGTTGACAGTTTGCGATGCCACAGAAATCTGGACGTATATACCAATTGGTCCTGTCCAGTACCACCTTAGATGTAGACTACGCCCTTACTCCCGCAACGCAATCTCCCGGTTTATGAAGAAAAAAACCTGCCAAACATGTCAAATGAACCAGCGTACCGTATCGCATGCAATTATTTTGCTCAACGGAAGGGGGGGGGGGGGGGTAGTGAGCAATTTTGTGGATATATAAAGCCAATTTATTGCCTTGTGACGACTTTCATTCACCTAAAATTTAATTTGTAATGTTATAGTTGAGAGAATTAGGGCGGCTCTTTTGGGCAATTTGGGGGCTATTTCGCCCCGAGCCCCTGTGTATTTTTTTCACTGATCATTCATATCAATTCTTCCGAATTTGTATCATTAATAATGGTGTGTTTTCACTCCTACTTTTAAATTATCTTTAATTTTAGTTAAACATCTAGCATTGAAGTTAGTACATGACAGTACCTTAGCACCATTTTCTCTCATCCAAACAATCTTGCCAAGTCCCTTTAGGCCAGAGCTACCAAGTATCACGCATTAGGCGTGACATCACGCATTTCAAGGGTTTCGCTCGCGCGCTGAATTATGAAAATGTCACGCATTGCCGATCTTTGAACTTGGCGTCTCTGTAAAGTTTAGGCTTTAAGGCTACCTCCTCCCTAGACAGAAATAACCGTCTGGTATGGGTCATTCTTTAATAAAACTGATATTTGTCGATATTCCCCATATCCGGAGGTCTAGTGGAGCCAGACGTAGTTTCAGTGGAACAACCGACGATATAGAGACTGAAGTTTTTGGTCTACCTCCTCCCCACCCCCAACCACCCCCTTTAACATTATTAACAGTTCACTGTCTTACTGATTTACTCTACTATACTAGGTCTATAGGCCATTATCATTTCTTCTTCTAACAGTTACATGTAAATGTATCTACATCTGACTCTCTCAGTCCCATCTCTCAGTCCTCAGTACAAGCTACAGACACTGTCACTAGTCACTGCACTGCACTCACTACTCACTGCTAGGCCTACTCAGGTTTCAAGATTTGTAGAAGACATGAAGTTAGAAGAATATGAAGAATAAGACAAAATCTATCCATATTTAAGTTGGTTTACCTAGATCTACCTGCTGCGGATAAAATAACATTGTCTGTATCTATCTCTCCTCACCAGTGCATATATGAAGACAGTCAAACAGACTGATTCCGACCTTCCGTCCTATTTCGCTAAGCAGAACACCTCACATACACTCACCGTACCGGGGAGGAGCCGGGGCGTCGAGCTGGCCCGGCTGCCGCGGGGCGGCGCGAGTGCCTTTGCAGGTGGCAGCTGCTCGCGAGCACCTCAGCTAAATCGGGGAAATACCCTACCGTGTCGTCAAAAGGACGAAACAGAAAAGAAAAATGCTTTTGTCCACAAGGAGAAAGAGTGTACCGTTACCTGTATATTACAACGTATTACAACAGGAGGTCTTTTTTAATGGGGTAGAGGTGATAACTTGGTTATACAATGGACCTAATTTGTAGTAGGTTCATGGTTTTACCCCCCTTGATCCCTTCTAAAACTTGTGATACTTCTAAAGGATGATTAAAATAATCCTCTCGATTGTTCATTATGAAGGAAATATGATACTAACATCATCAATAGTAAAACAAAATAATGATAGATTTAATGTTGGTTATGATATTACTACTAGTAATTATAATAATGATGATATTGATATTGATAATAACAACAACAATGATAATACAATAATGATAGGCTCACGAGATATTGCAAACCGTCTAAAAGGTATGAAAGTTTCCAAAATAGAAAATATAGCATATAATTATGAAAGTAGGCCTACAAGAAAAAAATAAAAACGGGAATAGCCTCAACTGTAGAATGCCAATTAGTTCTCATTTTAGAGATTGGGTAACTTTGCCTCAGATTCTAAACAAATCCTGGATTTGGCTCATGCTGCAATCATATGATTAGCCTTTAGGTCAGAAATGAATTTAATGACTTTTACAAGCCATCGCATGTTTGATTAAATATTTATGATTGGCGTTCAAAATTTCAACACTACAGTTTTTTGGGGAAAATGAAAACCGGTCACTCAAAGAATTTTCTTTGAAGCTCATGATCATTTTGAAGCGCAATTTTTTTTTATGTTAGGGCTTCAATATTACACCATAATGACACTGAACCACGTAGGGCCATGCATCTCAGATTTATAACACTGGAACATTGTTCAACAATGCCTTTAATATACAGAAAAGAGGCAAATAGAGGGGGAGAGGTGAAAGACAGAGAGAGATAGAGAGATGGATAGAAAGAGAAAGTAATTAAGAGAAAATATGTGTATACGTATAAATAGCGCGTAATTTATACAAAGAGAGAAAGAGAGAGAGAACGATGGATCAAAATGAGAGAGAGTTAGAAAATGATATTATACACAATTATAGATAATGCAGACCAGATCTCGCAAAATCATAACAATAGTAAGCAAATGTGGAGATGTTTGAGAAACCTTGTGCCTAAGTCATTACCTATATCTCCCAATAGCATAAATGTTGATGATGCTAATGTGTCAGATAATGCAAATATTGCTGAAGCTTTTAATGACTTTTTCATTTCTAATGCTACTAAGATTACAAAGGACCTGCGAAGGAATACGTCTCAACTGAGAGTAGACGAGGACAATAATATTGGTCCAACTCATTCGCAATTTAATTTGAATTTGATTACTGAGGATTTTGTATTGAAACAGATTGATAATTTGAGTATAGATAAAGCAACTGGTGAAGATCACATCAGCTGTAAACTTTTAAAGATGACGAAGAATGTTATCGCAGAGTCTCTTTGTGATATCATTAACAAATCCCTGTCTACAGGAGTTGTTCCACGTGAATGGAAAAAGGCTCGGGTAGTACCAATATTCAAATTTGGAGATATTTCTTCTTTGAATAATTACCGCCCCATTTCAATATTACCTATCGTGAGTAAAATTATAGAAAGGGCCGTCCACCAACAACTCAGTGAATTCTTGGACGAGAATCAATTATTACACCCTAATCAGTCTGGTTTTAGACCTAAACATTCAACAGCTACTGCCCTTGCAAAACTTGTAAATCAATGGTCGTTGAATATTGATAACAAAGAAATTTCTGGAGTTGCCTTCATAGATCTTCGTAAGGCTTTTGATACTGTTGACCATGAGCTACTTCTACATAAACTAGCTTGTATAGGTTGTAGTAATAGGACTATTTATTGGTTCAAATCATATTCAGGGGATCGACAACAAGTGACCCAATTCAAAGGAGCCAAGTCGCATCCATCAACCATCAAATTAGGTGTGCCACAAGGTTCAATTCTTGGTCCCCTTTTATTTTCGATATATGTTAATAGTCTACCTGAATGTACTCCTGAAGGTATCATAGATATGTATGCTGATGATACGACACTTACCGTCAGTGCAAATGATGCAACTGTTGTGGAAGAAAAATTAACTGTTGCATTAAACAGAGTCATGGCATGGATTAAGGAAAATCGTCTTGTTCTTAACACTGAAAAAACTTGTGTCATGTTAATAGGCTCTCCTGCTAATCTCAAGAAAATTGAATCTTTCACCATTTCATTAAACGCCAATTTGATCAAAAGAGTTCAATTCACCAAATGCTTAGGACTCTTGATAGATGAAGAATTGAAATGGTCTAAACAAATCGAAAACGTAAGTAAACTTACCCAGAAAAACATTAGCATGATAAAGAGAGCAAAGAGTTTTTTGCCTCAAAAATCCTTAAAGTTACTTTATAACAGTCTAGTGTTACCACGATTAGATTACTGCTCTGTTGTATGGTCGAACAGATTTCAATCTCATACAACTAAGCTGCAAAATATTCAAAAGAGGGCCGCAAGAATAATATTGAACAAGACATATGACACACCGTCGGCTGATTTGTTCACAAGTCTGAAATGAATGACACTAGACAAGCGGTTTGAGTTAAGTCGCGTTATGATGATATATAAATGCGTTCATAACTTAGCACCTTCTTACCTTCAGGTAGGCTTAATCAATCCTTATGATGTGCATGAGCATCATACAAGGCAAATAGACAGTGGATGTTTACGTGTGCCTAGATTTCACACTGATTGTTATAAGTGTAGCCCAATTGTTTCTTCCATATTTGAATGGAATAAGCTAGATAATTCGTTGAGAACGGCTTCCTCTGTCAATTCATTTAAGAGATTGTTTAAACAAAGTAATTGTAATTTGTGAATGGAATACACTACGTGCATGTTCTGTAATATGAACATGACTTATTCACATAACTGCGACTTAATTAATATTTTCCTATTGACATTACTGTTTACTAGGTTAATGATATATGTTTATTTTGCAAACGAGTATTGTTTTTGTAACCGTTCTGTATAAATGTTATAAACGATGTAAATATGTTCATTCAGGGCCCCATGGAAGACCACTACTTGTTGGTGAATGGGCTACCCTGTCAAAAGAATAGAAATAAATAAATAAATAAAATAAAATAGAGAGAGACAGACAGACAGACATAGAAAGAAAGAGAGAGAGCGCGTATGAGCGATATATATACAAAAAAAAAATATATTAAAATGTGCAAGAAGAAGGCGTTTTGATCGAGGGAAGAGGTTAATTTATGGTAAGATAGAGAAACACGCATATGATTTTTCTTCTCAAAAAAGGTGGCGGACAGAAAACAGAATTGAGATGTTGAAAGATTACCAAAAGAATTTTAAATATGGCTAGTAGTTAACTTAACGACCTGGTGAGGAGGAGAACACAAATTCATAAATATTATAAAAACGAGGAAAGGAAGTAAAATGAGAGAGACAGAAGGGGTCAATGTCGCTATTCATAAGGACCGCTATTCATAATTTGAGAAACGGGTCATTATTCATAAGAATGGCTATTCATAATTTGAGAAAAGGGTCATTATTCATAAGGACCGCCATTCATAATCAAAGAAGAGGGTCAGTATTCATGCAAAATATGAGAAAAGGGTCGCTATTAAGAAGGTTCCCTATTCATAAAGCTAGAAAAGGGTCGCTATTCATAATACGAGGAAAGGGTCGCTATTCATAAAAGGAGAAGAGGGTCGCTTTTCATAAGACGACTAGAGGGTGGCTATTCATATTGGAAAGAAACAATGGAGAAAGACCGGAAGAAGATGTGCAGTTGTGGTCGCAAATCGCCAGCAACTGACGGTGGCAGCCAGGTAGGTATTCATAAGGCGACAAGAGGGTCACTACTCACACTATGACAAGATAGTTGCTACACATGAGACGACAAGAGGGTAGCTATTCATAATGCGGAATGAGGGTCGCTATTTATAGGGGTCCGATTGTTTATAATTGAAGAAGAGGGTCGCTATTCATAATACGACGAGAGGGTCGCTATTCATAATCGAAGAAGAGGGTCGCTATTCATAATTCGGAGGTCACTATTCATAAGGGTCATTATTTAATGGAAGAAGAGGGTCACTATTCATAATAATAGAAAAGGATCGCTATTCATAATACGAGGAGAGGATCGCTATTCAAAAAAACGAGAAAAGGGTCCCTATGCATAATACGTGGAGAGGGTCGTTATTCATAATTTCATTTCATTTCATTTCATTTCGTTTATTTCCATTTCCAACAAAATAATAAGTACATGGGATTGCATTGTACATAGTAAAAACAATGAAACTTCACAATATATTTGTAATATTAGGAAAAGAGGGTCGCTATTCATAATACGACGAGAGGGTCGCTATTCATAATCGAAGAAGAGGGTCGCTATTCATAATTCGGAGGTCACTATTCATAAGGGTCATTATTTAATGGAAGAAGAGGGTCACTATTCATAATAGTAGAAAAGGATCGCTATTCATATTACGAGGAGAGGGTCGCTATTCATAATCGAAAATGAAGGTCGCTATTCATAATACGGAATGATTGTCGCCACATGGCCTTTAATATATTTGTAGAAAACATTTATTGAAAACATACATTTCTGAACAAAATATCGTTTTCACTGGCTGCCTGCCGTAGCAACAAACAGAGGTGACAAAAGACTTAACTCCGTTTCGTTGACGATCAGCCACACATCAAGTCCCTCGTCTTCTTTGTGCATGGTTGATCGTCAACAAAACGGAGTTAAGTCTTTTGTCAACTCTGTTTTTTGCTACGGCAGGCAGCCAGTGAAAACGAATTCGCAATCAAAGTATGGACATCCAAGCATTACTTTTAACAAACAGAACTTTGTTATTCCCGGCTCATTTTCCTGATTAAGGTGTCACATGAAAGGGCAAAAAATAAACTTTCTAGAAATGTGATTTTCTCTTTGAAATTCAGATACCGCCCGCCAAATGACTTTTCGGTACCCTCTCTTCAAACTGTTTTTAATCACGCATGTGTGAAATATGCATCATGTGAGTTGCATCAAATGAAAGAAGTGGCTCTAAGCTTTCCAAATATGTGTCATTTATGAATTATAATTGTGATTAAGTTATGATAAAACATCGACAATTCTCGGTTTCGCTTTTTCTGGGACACACTGTATAACAGAGAGAGTTGGGACAATTACAATGAAAACCAAACGTATTTTTTCAAATACATTATTAACGGCGTTACTAGAGTGATGGGGGAGGCAGGGGCCAAAGACCCCCTTCCCCACCCTTATAAGTTCGGAAAAAATGCACATTTAGTTAATGGTTCGATAAAGTAAATAGCACCCCCCCCCCCCCCCGCTCCCAATCTTAACTTTAATCTGTCATTGACATCCCCATCCCTTTATATTTCTTGTTAGACGTCACTTTAATTTATGTTTTTGCCCCTCCCCTGGTTGCGCCACTGACTGGGCCCAATGAGTCTGTATGTATCATACGCCAGTTTAAACTGTAGGTTTATGACATCATTATTTTGTTGACAGACACAAAATAATGGTTGTTTTATAATACACAAGACAAAGACGAGAATGATCCGATCACTTGTAGATTTTTAAAATATTTATTATGCAAAAAGCAGAGTGAGTGCAACTTTTGGGGATGTTAACCCTTACATTGAGTTAGGAGCTGATTTAGATAGTTGTGGGCATACATTGTAAAATAATTGAAGTAGAACTAGTGAAAACTAAGTCGAAATTGTGCAATCAAATAAATATGTTGTATATGAGGCTTTTATGGAATGTTTTGTAAATTATCATCCTGTTTAATCCCAAGGTAAGAATAGCATAGCTAATCCGAGTTATAATAAGACATTGCCATTGTTTATAAACAAGGTGCGCCGGTTGGCATGGAAGGCCGAAAATCAACATTTTCGGTAAAGAGTCATGATTGACTTGATTCCATGATTGGTTGATTTGTTTCCAATAAATTCAACATTATTTTTGGAAAATTTGTGTAACATTGCTACAAACTATGGCTATCTGTTTTTGATTTGCATTTATGGCTTTCCATAGTTTTCCAACATCGGTTGGCAACTATGCGGGCTGTTACGTTGAAATAGAAAGGTCTTTATCGATACTTGACCAACAATGGCTGATTCGTGTCAATTTGATTTGGTAAGCAAATTGTGATTGTCACAGTAATATGTCTCAGTAATTCATCTTAAAATCTTGTTAGTGCTTTATAAAAGTTCAGTTCAGTTCAGTTTCAGTTTATTTTCATATTTCACATGTTGTATAATACATCATTACATTTAGCATGTTACATTCTGTACTCATTTTAGGATGCGTTTATACAAACAAAAAAAGAATAATACATAAGACTAAGTTGTATAAAGGAAGAAATATGATGTTCACTGCCTCCAGCTTGCCGTAACCAAACAGCTATTTGTGTCAAACGGGAGAGGGCCATGACTATGTTTAAATTGTTGTAGCTTAAGAATAACTGAGAAGTAAACAGTGCATTTATTTAGTTAGTCTATCATAGTGGTTAATCAATTGACACAGCGAGCTTGATTGATGGTTTGATTTTTATTCGCCAAGCTTCCAACTTACTATACAAGAATAAAAGATCAAAATTAAGTCAGCTTGAACAGGCCGATAACCGACGAAAGCTTTCCAGTGGGGGAATCCATGTTTCAGTTAACATTAAACTTTACGGCTGGGAAACTGTCTCCATATTTTGGTTGTGAGAAAGATTGTTTAATATCTATCTGGGAGGCCAGCGGGTCTGTAACGGTTGGGGTCACCGCCATTGCGCCCCCATCTGTTGGCTTCCTGGTCTGCTTGAGTATCTTCAGGACCATGGCCGCTCAGTGTTCCCTGATATCCTTCGCGGGCATCGCTGAAAATAACCACAAAGCAGAGAACATTGTTGTTACACACAACTAATAGAGAATGTAATTATATATGTCCAATGGTGTATTTAACTAGACATTCTTATTTAAGGGGCAAAGGGGGAGGGGTAAAGACAAAACATTCGTCTGTGCATTATTTTTTTCGATCCCAATTGGGTTTGAAAGGGGGTAGTGATCGAGCAGGGGAGACCTCCCACAACCCTGCTTCGACCCCCCCACCCCCACCCCCCCCCATAATTACGCCACTGTGGTTGGAAAAACAGCATTTCAAATAAATATCTTGTAGCGGGACCTATTGGTGTCCCTGCATTGTGAATCGAACATTAGATATTGGCAACGTTTGTCTATTTGTTACTTTTTTAAAAATTTAAGCCATATGCGAGGTTGATTATCTTGGTTCTGATCCCTACCTGATAACTCTGGCAGCCCATCTACCTCCTGATCCTCGCTGAGCAGCGTCGAAGTTGCCCCGAGCGTGGAAGTACTTATCGGTACCAGGGGTCTTAAAGTTGGCCTCACGCAAGTCACTATTGAGTTTGTAAAGAAGCAATATACAGTTGTCCGTTTTCATAAAAATGTTTCAAATTCATTTCTTGTTTCAACCTTGCCGATATATTAAAGGGATATTGAGAAAAATATAAGACAGTAATACCATGAGACATTACCCCCACTGTGGTTGGAAAAACAGCATTTCAAATAAATATCTTGTAGCGGGACCTATTGGTGTCCCTGCATTGTGAATCGAACATTAGATATTGGCAACGTTTGTCTATTTGTTACTTTTTTTAAAATTTAAGCCATATGCGAGGTTGATTATCTTGGTTCTGATCCCTACCTGATAACTCTGGCAGCCCATCTACCTCCTGATCCTCGCTGAGCAGCGTCGAAGTTGCCCCGAGCGTTGAAGTACTTATCGGTACCAGGGGTCTTAAAGTTGGCCTCACGCAAGTCACTATTGAGTTTGTAAAGAAGCAATATACAGTTGTCCGTTTTCATAAAAATGTTTCAAATTCATTTCTTGTTTCAACCTTGCCGATATATTAAAGGGATATTGAGAAAAATATAAGACAGTAATACCATGAGACATTACCCCCGTACAAACTAACCCCCCCCCCCCCCCTTTAAAAAAAAAAAAAAAAAATAGTGCTCACTTCCCCCCCCCCCCCCCCCCCCCCCCCCCCCCCCCCCCCCCCCCCCCCCGTTATTCGCCGGCTGATTCGACGCTATAATGTTCTCACGAAACAAAAAAAGTAAGTGATCACCACCCTTCTCGGGATTAGTCGCTTCGCTCCAGCTCGCAATGTCTCACATTCACAGTCTGGCTCAAAGTTGGCAATCCCAAGAACCCCCCCCCCCCCTTAAAAAAAGCTTGTACGGGCTTGGACATCAATTAAGTCATAATTACGACTTATATCTCATCATTAGAAGACGGTGTCCACTTAAGTTATATTGATTTGGAAGTCATAATTATGACTTGTAAGTCGTGAGATGTATTGGCAAAGTTATGACTTTTCTTTTCTTTTAGTTCCCGATGTCACCCCCCCCCCCCCCCACACACACACACACACACACACACACACACACACACTCCGGGAACGGAGGGACCGCATTCATGTTCCCCGAATCTCCGGTAAAGGGGTACTTTTCAGGCAAGAAAGACCGGCTCGTAATACATTTAAAAAACGGCCCGTATTGACTTACACGTACACCGGACTTAGGGGATGCTATAATTTCTAAAGGAGGGAACATGCATACGCGTTCCCTAAATAACACTGAGTGGAGGAAGGGGGCGGGTGTCAATCACACTTCCGTTGACAATAGAAACAGTTAGGAAAGAAAGAGAGATTTCATATAGCTCCGTTTAGTCTCATTTGAGAACGCCTCCTATCGGCAGAGTCTAGCAGCCTAACATGTACGTTAGCCTATGGACTTTTACCCAAAAAATCATTAAAAATTCAATGGTGTTTCAATAATAGAGTCTGTATGGTTAATGGTGTTTCAATGGTGGAATTGTATGGTGAATGGTGTTTCAATGGTGGAATTGTATGGTGAATGGTGTTTCAATGGTAGAGTCTGTATGGTGAATGGTGTTTCAATGGTGGAATTGTATTGTCATTGGTGTTTCAATGGTGGAATTGTATGGTCAATGGTGTTTCACTGGTAGTAGTGACTTTGAGAAAACTGGTTGTCCCTTATACTTTGAACTACAATTTGCTCTGTGATTTTGCTTTATTTTTCGCGAATTTTTCTTCACGATCAACGTTTCAAAGCTGACAAACTGCAAGGAATAATACCCTAGTCCTCAGGAACAATGGTGGATCTTTATTTTTTTTCTTCAATTTGGAGTAATTTTGGTTCTGATATATGTCTCTTTACCGTGAGTAACTGCTGTTTTGTGCCTGTGGTCCCACTCATATGACTCTGTGATGTACATTATTATACATTTGCTTACATGAACAGCCTGTTATTGTTAATTAAAGCAGCTTATAAATCATTCATTTTATTACAAAAATTGAAATATTATAGTATTAGGGGCACACCTTTAGAAATTGTATCAAGTTATTTATCTCATCGTAAACAATTAACAATTATTAATGAAGCTGCCCTTACAAAAAAATGTTCAATGGTATACCATTCGGAAGTACCACTGAAAATACCATACGGATACCGTTCACAAACACCATTTAAATACCATTCGGATACCATTGAGATTACGCACGCAACGTACCATTGGGCACCATTCATCTACCAGTAAAATACCATTCAACCTAATAATAATCTTTTTGGACGCTTATTTGCATAATCACCAACGGTAGATGAATGGTACTATTTACACCATTGAAATTTGTATATGAAATATGCAAATTTTGTACCATTAATCTACCATTCACCATTGGCCTACCATTCACTATCCACCATTGGCCTACCATTCACCACCCACTATTCACCATTAACCATTGGCCTACCATTCACCACCCACCATTGGCCTACCATTCACCATCCACCATTGGCCTACTATTCACCATCCACCATTGGCCTACCATGCCAATGGTGAATGGTAGATTAATGTTACAAAATTTGCATATTTCAAATTCAAATTTCAATAGTGTAAATAGTACCATTCATCTACCTTTGGTGATTACGCAAATGAGCGTCCAAAAAATTATTATTAGGTTGAATGGTATTTCACTGGTAGATGAATGGTGCCCAATGGTACGTTGCGAGCGTACAGACTGCAGTACTATTCCCTCAAAATGGACATGCCATTTTATTTGTTTCGGGAGGGCACGCCCCCCCCCCCCACCCCCGCATGTTTTCGGCAGGTGCCATGCCCCCCCCGCGGGTCCCGGTTCCTACGTGCCTGATCTGTTATTATAATTCTGAATAAGTCTGAAAATGATGGATGAACGTGAAGAGCTAAATTTCTTCCTATACGGTGTTCGGGTTATATTAATATACCCACCTGTAGCTTCGCCACATGTCGCCCGCTCCATGGTAGGCTCCACTGACGAAGTCGCCTGCTGTCCGAATGGGGCTACTGACGTAGCGATCAAACCAGGATGGTTCAGAACAATCAGAAGGCACAACCAGCACCCCAGCCATCAAAAGAGCAATGATACTACCGGCAATTCTCATATTTGCAGGCTTGAAAGAGTTGACACTTGCGTACAAAGTTTTTTTTAAAGGCACCCTATAGTTGTCCTGCTGGAAATAGAATGAACAGATATGACACATACCTCTTTCTAAAATAACTACAGGTGCTGTGTGAGAGCAAAGGACAATTTCCTAACCAAAAGAACAGGATATCAATACCAGGGGAAAGCCCAATAAGAAATTGTGTGGTGAAACTAAAAGTGAAAGTAAATAATCTGAATCCTATGTCCTGGAAGAAAAGTGCTTGGCAAACAGTCACTTTTGAGAGAGGGAAAAGGGAGGGACAGACAGAGGTAGACATACAAGCAAATTTAAAGATACAAGAGAGAGAGAGAGAGAGAGAGAGAGAGAGGAAACTTATCAATACAAACCTGGAATCGAAGAATAACCAGAGAATATAGGAAACAAATAAGACTGAAATTGAGAAGTAGCACGAAATTAATGATACTCTAGACTGTACTTTCAATGAAACTCGGAGAACATCAGATAAGATTTGTTGTATTACTTTATTAAATCGGTGCGGTTCATATCATGTTTTTTTATTTCATTCATTGGCTCATTATATCATTATTTTTGCATTGAACATTAAAAAGAAAAGAAGGTCGAGATTGAAGTATATTTCTAAAACCAGTCATTCTCTGTTTTTAGATGAGGATGTTTCCAGGTGGACATCCATGATATTTTTTAATACTTTTTTTCCCCACAGGGATGTTATTGATTTTCATTTGCAACAAATTAACAAACATAATTCAAGGTAATTTATAATCCATGATATTTGATTAAGGTTGAATGTATTTCCATCCATCTCTGGATCGGTCCAGACACATCAAGGCCCACCACCCCAACCATTATTGACTCAGCCGCGGCTTCCACCCAGCCAACTTCGGAGACCACCGTATCAGTACTTGCCTGGAACCTCTGCTCAAACCCCCCTGAACCAATCATTCCGACCACCATTGGGCCAGCCTCCACTCAGTCAACCTTGGAGAAGACAGCGCGTAGACCCCATGTACCCCACCATGAATGGACCTGCCTACCACGCTGGAACTACTTATGCCAATGGATCCTCTTAAAATCAATTCATGGGACCGCCATATGTGGATCCGCTCATCCCACCAAGTTATCAACGTCAAGCACCTTGGCACAGATCGACAGACTTGGGTCGTGGAAAGGAGCTCATGCCCCGCCCTACATATGCATCAGTACTTCAAGGACCAGGATGTGAGTACTGTGGAGAACCAAACCACAATGCAGAAACTGTCTCGAGTATGGTCACAAGATAAAAAAAACTGTTATATATGAACATTAGGCCAAGAAGAGAGCGCCACAGTACATCATGGTCACTCTGTAACTGCTCAAGAGGAGAATGAATATGATAAACGGGTTTCCATTATAACTGCTAATGATATTTTTGATAATGTTCATCATACCACCAATCTTAAACGTAGTAATGAATATTCCAAATGTAACTTTAAATTATCTAAACATAATGGCCTTAAAGTCGGGCATTTAAATGTTAGGAGTTTATTAGATAAAATAGATGAGATTCGATTATTACTTATGAAAATAAAGTTTGATGTTTTATGTATTTCAGAGACATGGCTACATGATCTGATAAATGATAATGATGTTTTTATAGACAATTATGTAATAATTCGTAAGGATAGACCAAAGACTATGAACAAGAAAAGAGGTGGTGGTGTTTGTGTTTATATCTTAAAATCTCTTCCATACACATTGCGACATGATCTAATAAGTAATTCATTGGAAGGTATTTGGTTTGAAATGTTTTTTAATCACGAACAAGTATTGATGTCTTGTATTTATAGACCACCAAATGCTGATGTATTATATTTTAATAATCTCTTGGATGTATTAGAAAAGGTGTCACAAGAAAATAAGGAACTTATAATATTAGGTGATCTTAATTATGATTACATCTTAGATCATAATTTATGTAATAATCCAATTAATTTGATTGAAAACTTATTTCTCATGACACAATTAGTGTTGAAGCCTACTAGGGTTACAAGCAATTCTTCAAAATGTTTAGATCATATTTTAACTACGATACCTGAAAGACAGGCTGTCACCAATGTTGCAAAGATTTCATTAAGTAACCATTACCTCATCTATACATGCATAAATTTTTCAATGACCAAACATAATAATCACAAAGAGGTTACATTTCGTGATTATCAAGGATTTGATAGAGATGTTTTTTTACAGGACTTAGAAAGAAGTTTTGATACCAGTAATCTTGATTTTGAAGATGATATGTATAATATTGATGAAAAATGGCTTAGATGGAAATCAACTTTTACTAAGGTATGTGATAAACATGCACCTCTTAAAAATAGGCGTATAAAACAAAGATATTGTCCCTGGATTTTAAAAGAATTAGTCCAATTGATTTATAAAAGAGATTTTTTAAAGAGGAAATCTGATATCGACCCAGCAATAAAAAAAGACTATAAATGCATAAGAAAACGTGATACTAAGAGGAATTATACCAAGGATGTTATTCGAGATTGAAAGAAAGATAGTAAAAAAAAATATGGCGTGAGCTGAATAAGATCACCAGCAGGAAACGTAAAAATGATGTATTGCCTAATGAATTAAGTGCTGATAAATTGAACAATTTGTTTGCGTCAGTTGGAAAAATAAATAAGCCAAAAAATGATGATTTTAGCTGGAAACATCCAGAATGTATTTATAGTTTTGAATTTCAAAGACTAAAGGAAAGTGTTGTTTATGAATTGTTATGCAAATTAGGAAATGTAAGTAATCTTGACCTATTTAATGTAGATTCTAAATTGCTTTGTATTGGAGCATCAGTTTTATCTAAACCATTGGTTTTACTATATAATGCAAGTCTAAGAAATGGCTCAGTTCCGTCTGATTGGAAAATATCCAAAGTAACACCGATTTATAAAGGTAAGGGGAAAAAAGATGATCCAACCAACTATGGACCAATATCTGTAACCTGTCATGTAATTAAAATTTTAGAGAAAGTCATTCAAAAACAATTATTGACTTATCTTCGCTTGAATAAATTGATTTCTATTGATCAATCAGCTTTCCTACCCAACCATTCAGCCTATACATGTATTCATAGAACTATAGATGATTGGCTGGAATCTTTTAATGAAAAAGAATTAGTGGCTGCGTGCTTTTTAGATATTTCCAAATGTTTTGATTCAATTGACCATAAATTATTACTTAAGAAACTACAATGTTATGGTATAAAGGATGAACAGTTACAATGGTTTAGTAGTTATTTGTTTGAAAGGAGACAAATGGTTTTCTGTCATGGTATACTCTCGAACTCAAAACATTATCAAATGGAATCCCTCGAGGGAGTATCCTCGGACCAATTTTATTTTTACTTTTTATTAATGATATAGCTCAGTCTTTGCAGACATGTACCTGTAATATGTTTGCTGATGATGTTGTTATATACACTTCTCATAAGAATATTGATGAACTAACCATATTGTTACAAAATGATGTTCATTCAATACATAGATGGTATACTCAAAATAATTTAAAAGTTAATGCTGAAAAGACCAAAATTATGCTTTTAAGTACACGTAAAGCATATAACTTGAATATATACATGGATGGAACGAAAATGGAACAGGTTCATAATTTTAAATATTTAGGGGTGGAAATTGATGAACACTTTACCTGGGATATTTATGTTAAAAGACTTACCAGATTGATCTCTATGAAACTGTTCTCATTACGTAATATGTCCCAATATTTAGATGTCAAATCCTTAAAGCTCATGTATAATACAATTATTTTACCATGTATTGACTATTCATGCACAGCCTGGGAAAATTGCTCAAGGCAAAATAAAGAGTTACTCTTAAGGTTACAAAAGAGAGCAGCACGTATAATTACATCCAACTATGACTATGAAAATGTTAGAGGTGATGATTTAATAAAATTAATGAAATGGCAATCATTTGACGAAAGGATAAATTATTTTTTAGCTGTTTTAATGTATAAATCTGTACATGGTATTGCACCAACACATCTGTGTAATGCTATTGAAATGGTCTGCGATAGACATAACTTAAATACTAGAGCCGCTGACAAAACAAATGTAATATTATCAAAACCTAATCTAGAATGCTTTAAGAACATTCTTATGTACTCAGGAGGAGTTATCTGGAACTCATTACCTATTATCTTACAAAATTCTATATCTATTTCTTCATTTAAATACCTTTATAAAAGATTGTACTTTCATTAATGTTCTAAATAACCAATATCTTCATGGATGTGAGTATATATATCTTTTTTACCCTACTTTAATAAATACAAGTTTGTTAGTTCTGTTTTTTCTTACATTGTTTCAAATCATTCTTTTTGTGATTCTGGGTAAACCTTTGAATGTAAATCTATGTGTCTAGTTGCTGGTTATTTTATAAAATGTTAAACTATTCAATATCCATGTAATCTATTCATGTTTTGCATATTTCAATGATATTTGTATTTCATTGATAGTTTGTATTTCATTGTTTGTATTTTACCATGTATGTATATACAGGACCAATATGAAAACAGCCTTGGTTGATATTGTCATCCTGTATAAATATTTTCAAATAAATGTCTATCTGCGATTAGCAGGACCCCGATAACCACGGCGTAAATAGCTTTCATCACTCGATCGTCTAACCGGGTTGGTGCCAGAACCAAAGGTAGTATCGCCTTGTCGGCAGCGATTTTCAGAGTTCTGTTGGCGCTTTCTTTCCCGGGAAGTACAATGGTTTTGGTGGAGTTTCTATCTAAGAGATTTTGAGCCCTTTCAATCCAGATCTTCAAGGGATTGCGATCATCCCAAGGAATAAATGAACGTCCGCCGTGTACGGTGCTTACGCAGTAGCCAATTTCATTTTTTTTGTTCATGATGAGTTGGTCTCTGCTGGACCGATAACCCTGGTGTGGCCGACTCCATCTCAATGTGAAGACTGGGGGACGCGGTTGGTGGAGGGAATGGGATAGGCTCTGACCTATCTAAGAGATTTTGAGCCCTTTCAATCCAGATCTTCAAGGGATTGCGATCATCCCAAGGAATATCCACTATCGGTAGTTGTGGCACCGGTAGGGCTTTTGGTTTTGGATCCGGTAGTGGATCTGGTGGTGGCCTCGGTGGTGATACTGGTGGTGGATCCAGTACTGGGTCTAGAGGCGGCGCTGGTAGTGCTACTGGTGGTGGTGGTTCCAGTAAGGCTACGTGTGGGGGAACCAGAAGTGGTTCTGATGGTGGCGATGGTATTTCTGGTGGTGGTGGGTCCGGTAGTGGTTCTGGTGAAGTCACCGGTTGTGCCAATGGTAGTGGAACCGGTAGTGTTTGTAATGGTGCAGCCGGTAATTATTGCTCTGGTGGCGTCGGTAGTACTGCTTCTGGTGGTGACGCCGGTAGTTCTACTTGTGGTCGTGCCAGTAGTGATTTTGGTGGTTGTGCCAGAAGTGCTACTGGTGTTGGTGTCTGATGTGGTTCTGATGGTGGCGCTGATAGTGTTACTGGTGGTGGTGGTGGTGGTGGTGCTACCAGCGGTTTTTGTGGAGGCGCCGGTATTATTACAGGCAGTGGAGCCCGTAGTGGTTCCGGTGGTTGAGCTGGTAGTGGTACTGGTGTTGTAGTCAGCGGCAATGTTGGCGGTGGTGATGGCAGATATTTAGCAGTCACATCCTGGGAAGAGGGGAAATTAAGATTAACAAATTAACTACTATTCAATCGCTTTTTCCGATAAATTTCTTAAATAAATTGAAAGTGAAACCATTTATGTTTTTAACTTATTTTGGGTCGGGGCACGCATCAACCTACAAAACGAATTATGATAAAGCGATTGGATTTAAATGGTGAATTATAAAAGCATTGTGTTCATTCAAATGCAACCAAGCACTGTGCTCCATACATCTTGTTTTCACGCTTACCTCAAATATACCGCTAAAAAAGGCATCAACATGATAATGAAGTGCCGCCTTCTGGGTAATAGTCTGAAGAGAAATGATAAATTATTCGGGAGTTAGTCAATGCACATGATGCATACCACACTAAAAGTGGTTCACAGCTGGTTTTCATCAGCATTGTTAAATAAACACACACACAACGCAGATATTATATGGACTTACCTGAACAATGGTCTTGGCAGACAGTGTGAGCTCCAAGTCGGCAACTTCGTCCTGATGAATAAAAACAAAAAAATATTAAGAAATGTATATTAATTTAAATTTCATATCTAGAGTTTAAATTTAAATGTTATTATTTGTTTATCAATATCTAAAAAATAATATGAATAAAACAAAAGTTATGTAAATTTACCATGAAAATATTTCCATGAAAATAAGCAAAATTAAGATGAAACTGATGAAAGGAAACAAAGAAGGACAACTAAGATATTTATGTTGTTCAATGTTTAAAAAATCGTAAAGTTAATGTTTTTAGAAACTACTGAGATGCTTACGGCAAAAATATCGCTGATGTAAAGTTCAGCCTCTCGATCAAACCTGGCCTCTCGGACGATAGTCTGAAAACAGAAAACATAATATTATAAAAGTGCTGGTTTACGACAACGAAATGGAAATTATATATACAAAATATTGTCATTTCAATTAATTTAAAGAAAAATGAATAATTTACATTTATGTCGACATGGCTCAACAAAAATGAATGTACTTTAGGCTTTCCGCGAATCGTAATGGGAGGGATGAATAATAAAAAGCAATTTATCTGCCTCCTCGCTCCACAAAATCCCGCTAAAGATGGAAGTAAGATCCATCAAAATGCGATGGAAATTTAATGTTTAAATAATCGACCTTAAAATCTTATAATCAATTAGAAAATGTTGAATCTTTTTGTTTGCTTACAGAAAAGATTCCATTGAGATTTTCCTTGATGTCATGCTCGAGAAATGCATCTTGGGCAATAGTCTGCAGAAATAGAAATAGAAATATAGGAAAGCTGGTTTATTATAATGAAATAGAAAAGAGTATTCTGATTTAGTTTGGGATACAAGACTGAGAATAAAAAAAATAAGGATGTAGCTACTTCAATAAATGGCTTGATCTGGTGTTCTTTGCACAGCAATTCATCGAACACAGTCTAAGGGAAAGTAAGAACAAGATGTGAGCTTTAAATTCCTAAATTAACAATTTTGATCAAATAGTCCCTGTTTTTGGTTGTAAAAATAATAGCTAATATTTGAAGACGGGGTTTCAGTATATGCTAAATTCCATATTTACTCAGATTTGGTTATTTATTAAAATAAAAAGGTCGATAATGCTTTAAAGTAGAGATTGTAATCAACAATACCCATGAATATTCAGAGGAGTAATATATAATTCAAGTAATGAAAATCAATATATCTGCCCCCTCCCCGACCTTCCTGCAATAAAGTTTGAATACAAAATCACACAAAAGATGGAAGTAAAGATATATCAAAATGCGATGTAATTTACTTTGTTTGAATACTCGAACTTAAAAATCTTGTAATGAAAATCAAAATAGTTTATTTTTGTTTGCTTACGGAACAAATTGCTTTCAGGTACTCGTTTATCTCAAGGTCAAGAACCGCGTCTTGGACGATAGTCTGTAGAAAAAAAGAAAATAACAAACCAGCCTTATGGCAATGAACAAGAGTGAGAACAAAAATCTACTCTTTTAGGAGTGATATTAGAGATCAATTTGATTTGGAGTGGAAATTACAGCTCAAAAGGAGTTGAATCCACCTTAAAACGAGTGCTCCAAATTCCTACTTTTGAGTGGATCCCAATATTTTTAGCGTGGATTTCCTCTCCCAAATGAAGTGATCTCTATTATGCCACCTTAAAGAGTGGATTTTCACTCTTCTGCACTTAGATGATTTCGGAGAAGCAAGACTGGTTGAAGCACTTTATGAAAATAAACTGCACATGGCAATTTAAATTTCAAAAATAGGCCAAAAGAGGAATCAATTATTTGTATAAAGATACCTGGATACAGTCATTGCTTGATATCAAGTAATGTATTCAAGTCTCCAGAAACATCCTGAGGGATAAAAGAAAAAGTTATTCCACAAAATGGTCTCCGATTCAATCTATTTCATATATAGCTTCAAGTTCTTAATTGTTTTTATTAGTTTTACTTTCATGTGTAACACGAAGCAACCAATATGCTTTGTTAAATGTCTCAGTTTTACATTGATTTAATAACAGAAGAAGGCATTCATTCATATTCAGATGTTGTTTTACCTTGTTGACGGCTTGAGCTTGGGAGACATCTTTGATTACTGGTTCAGGGTCTGAAACTGTTTTAAGAACAGCCTCTTGGACTATAGTCTGTAGCAAAGAGAATAATAACAAACCAGCCTTATGACAATGAACAAGAGGCATATTAGAGATTACTTTGCTTTGGAGTGAAAATCAATGGCTCAAAAACAAATGGAATCCATTCTCAAAAGAGTGCTCCAAATCACTACTTTTGAGTGGATCCCAATATTTTTAGCGTGGATTTCTTCTCCCAAATGAGGCGATCTCTATTAGTCACCTTAAAAAGTGGATTTTCACTCCTCTGCAGTAAGATGATTTAGGAGAAGCTAATTTGGATTGAAATCCAAGCATAACACATTTTAAAAATAATAATGTACCATTACTAATACTACTACTACATCTAATAACAATGACGATACAAAATATTATAAATAATTTTAAAAATTATAATAATGATGATAATAATGATAATAATTATTTAAAAGAATAAGGAATATAATTATAATGAGAAGCCTACCGCAATGTAAAGCTTGACTTGATCATGTTCTTTTTTGAGCAAATCTTCAGTCACAGTCTAAAATAAAAAGCAAGAAAACATTTAAATGAAAGTTCTTTACTTTAATGTGTATTTCTTCTTTATTGCTAATTGTGTTTGGGTGGAAAACAATTATGAATGAGCTCGGAGCTTGACTTGACGTACCGCTGTAATTTCGATTTCATGAGGATTCCACCATACAACAGTTTTATTTTAAATTTATTATATATTTATTGAATGATGAATTGGAAAGCGTGTGGAAATTGCCTACATGTATTTATACGAAATAAACTGGATACTTTTTTTTTAGACAAGATTGATTTATTGGTACTACATGTATAACAACTATTTAGATTAAGACTTAAATGATATCACAAAGATGTTAAGAGTCTTACTTCAAAGATGTCATTGATGAAAGTATCAATTTCCTGCTCGTAAGCTAAGTCATGGACTAGGGTCTGGAAGAAAAAAAATCATTTTATTTCATTCAATTTAATTTCGTTTCTTTTATAAAAGGCTCATACATAGAAATAGGTTATAAACCATTGATTCATGTTTTTGTAAACTAAATATTATACACAAGAATGAGTTCCTGTTGTCTTTTTGGCTTAAATATAAATAGGTAATTCAGCTGCATACCTATAATTATATATATATATATATATATATATATATATATATATAAATTTAAATATTTAAAACCATCATGCCTTAAACACAGACATTTCAAGTCCTAAACTATACTGAATGATTTAAATCAGATTCAATAAAATCCATTAAGAAAACATGAAAATGCTGAATTTTCATAATAGCTCATGTCATTGGCAAATGACAATAGAGAGGCTGGTGGAAGTAATTTATGAAAATGAAATGCACAGGGTAATTTAAGACTATTACAAATAAAGGCCAAAAAGGTCTTTGATTGCTGGTTCAGGGTCTGAAACTGTTTCCTTAAGAAACACAAATATATTATAATGGTCAATTAACCACGGATATCAACACAAAGAGCAGGCATTGAACAATAAAAAGAACAAATATGCAACCTCGCTTCAACAATTTATAATATTACAGCCACTTATTTAGTTTGCAAATAATAATGATATTAGCAAAAGAGGGATCGCTTTGGCATTATAGAATTTCATGATAATTTCGGTGCGAAAAGAAGATTAGATATAAAATTTTAAGATTAAAAAAAAAAAAGGACCAAAAAGTAAAAGAAAAGAAAATTTAACATATCTGATCGATGAATTCAAAGATAATTGAACTTTGAAAGAAGTAACAAAAGCAGAAAAAAAACGTTTGACTTACTTTGATGGTTTCTGGCTGAGAATGAATCTCAACTTCGCATCTGCGAACACCAAAACAAAAGTACAAATGTAAAATCAATGACGTAAAATAATTTCCTTTTAATTGTCGTAAACCAGCACTTTTATAATATTATGTTTTCTGTTTTCAGACTATCGTCCGAGAGGCCAGGTTTGATCGAGAGGTTGAATTTTACATCAGCGACATACTTGCCGTAAGCATCTCGGTATTTACTAAAAGCATTAACTTTACGATTTTTTAAACATTGAACAACATAAATATCTGTGTTTCCTTTCATCAGTTTCATTTTGTTATAAGTTTATATCACTTATTATTTTATTTATATTATTTTTTAGATTTTGATAAACAAATAAAAACGTTTAAATTTAAACTCTAGATATGAAATTTAAACTTTTGTACATTTTTTTGTATTTATCTTTTTTATTCATTAGAATAAGAAATTTATTTGAAAATGCGATTAAATAGTAGTTAATTTGTTAATCTTACTTTCCCCTCTTCCCAGGATGTGACTGCTAAGTATCTGTCATCACCACCGCCAACATCGCCGCTGACTACACCACCAGTACCATTACCAGCTCAACTACCGGATCCACCACCACCTAAACTACCGTCGCTAGCACCAGAACAACTACTGGATCCACCACCAGTAGCACTACTGGAACCACCACCACCAGAACCAGTAGTGGATCCACCACCAGTAGCACTACTGGAACCACCACCACCAGAACAACTACTGGATCCACCACCAGTAGCACTACTGGAACCACCACCACTAGAACCAGTAGTGGATCCACCACCAGTAGCACTACTGGAACCACCACCACCAGAACAACTACTGGATCCACCACCAGTAGCACTACTGGAACCACCACCACCAGAACAACTACTGGATCCACCACCAGTAGCACTACCGGAACCACCACCTCCAGAACCAGTACTGGATCCATCACCAGCAGCACTACTGGAACCACCACCACCACCAGAACAACTACTGGCTCCACCACCAGTACCATTACCAGCTCAACTACCGGATCCACCACCACTTGAACTACCGTCGCCAGAACCAGAACCACTACTGGTTCCACCACCAGTAGCACTACTGGAACCACCACCACCAGAACCAGTAGTGGATCCACCACCAGTAGCACTACTGGAACTACCACCACCAGAACAACTACTGGATCCACCACCAGTAGCACTACTGGAACCACCACCACCACCAGAACAACTACTGGCTCCACCACCAGTAGCACTACCGGTGCCGCCTTTAGAACCAGCACTGGATCCACCACCAGTATCACCACCGAGGCCACCACCAGATCCACTACCGGATCCAAAACCAAAAGTCCTACCGGTGCCACAACCAAAACAACTACAGGCACCACAACTAGTAGTCCCACCAGCTTCATCATCGGAACCTCTTCTAGCGCAACAACAATCAGTACTATCAGCACCACTTGCTGCACCACCACCACAACCACCACAACCTCTGCCACCGTTACTGCTACCGATGGTGGATATTCCATGGGACGATCGCAATCCCTTGAAGATCTGGATAGAAAGAGCTCAAGATCTCTTAGATAGGTCAGAGCCCATCCCATTCCCTCCACCAATCGCGTCCCCCCAGTCTTCATATTGAGATGGAGTCGGCCACACCAGGGTTATCGGTCCAGGAGAGACCAACTCATCACGAAGAAGAAAATGAAGTTGGCTACTGCGTAAGCACCATACACGGCGGACGTTCATTTATTGCATACAAACTCCACCAAATTAAAACCGTTGTACTTCCCGGGAAATAATGCGGCAAAAAAACTCTGAAAGTCGCTGCCGACAAAGCGATACTATCTCTGATACTGGCACCAACCCGGTTAAACGATCGAGTGATAAAAGCTATTTATGCCGTGGTTACCGGGGTCCTGCTGATCGCAGATAGACATTCAACCTGAACCAAATATCATTGATTATAAATTACCTTGAATATATGTTTGTTAAATTGTTGCAAATAAAAATCAATAAAATCCCTGTGGGCAAAAAAAGTTTTTAAAAAATATCATGGAACTCCACCTGGAAACATCCTCATCTAAAAACAGAGAATGACTTGTTTTAGAAATATACTTCGATCTCGAACTCTTTCTCTGTTCAATGTTCAATGCAAATATAATGCGCCAATATACATAAATAAAATTAAAAACCATGATATGAACCGCATCGAATTAATAAAATTATTACAACAAATCTTATCTGATTTTTCTCCGAGTTTCATTGCAGTTTAGAATATATGTTTTTTATATTCTCTGGTTTAACATTTTTTTGTCTATTCTTATATTATTTGTTGTTATTCTTCAATTCCAGATTTTTATTGATTAGTTTCCCCTCTCTCTCTCTCTCTCTCTCTCTCTTTCATCTTTGAATTTGCTTTTATGTCTACCTCTGTCTGCCCCTCCCTTTTCTCCCTCCCTCTCTCTTTTTCTTCCCCTCTTCCTCTCTATCTCTCTCTCTCTTTCATCAGGATATCAACAACGCCCTCTCCCTAGATAGTTAATAATAAGGCAAAACAAACAACAGCAAGTCTCTCTCTTCTCTCTCTCTCCCTCTCTCTCTCTCTCTCTCTCTCTCTCTCTCTCTCTCTCTCTCTCTCTCTTATTGATTCCTGCTGTAAATACAAGATTATGGATGGAACAAGTTTTACCTTCCGAACCCCCCCCCCCCCCCCAATTTCCTCTTTCCCTCTCTTCCAAAAGAATAAAGTGCCTGTCATGTCAGGACTATATAATTGAGTTATTAATTTATTAAGTAGATGTACACCCCCTCTCTTTCTCTCTTCCCAAGATAATGTCCTCCCCCTTCCATCTCTACATGTATATCTCCCCCTCTTTACCACACTCTCTCTTTCTCTCTCTCTCTCTCTCTCTCTTCCCATGATAATGTCCTCCCCCTTCCATCTCTACATGTATATCTCCCCCTCTTTACCACACTCCCTCTTCTCTCCCTCTCTCTCTCTCTCTCTCTCTCTTTCTATCTCTCTCCCCATGATAATGTCCTCCCCCTTCCATCTCTATAATATATCTCCCCCTCTTTACCACACTCCCTCTTCTTTCTCTCTCTCTCTCTCTCTCTCTCTCTTTCTATCTCTCTCCCCATGATAATGTCCTCCCCCTTCCATCTCTACATGTATATCTCCCCCTCTTTACCACACTCCCTCTTCTCTCCCTCTCTCTCTCTCTCTCTCTCTCTCTTTCTATCTCTCTCCCCATGATAATGTCCTCCCCCTTCCATCTCTACATGTATATCTCCCCCTCTTTACCACACTCCCTCTTCTCTCCCTCTCTCTCTCTCTCTCTCTCTCTCTTTCTATCTCTCTCCCCATGATAATGTCCTCCCCCTTCCATCTCTATATGTATATCTCCCCCTCTTTACCACACTCCCTCTTCTTTCTCTCTCTCTCTCTCTCTCTCTCTCTTTCTATCTCTCTCCCCATGATAATGTCCTCCCCCTTCCATCTATACATGTATATCTCCCCCTCTTTACCACACTCCCTCTTCTCTCCCTCTCTCTCTCTCTCTCTCTCTCTCTTTCTATCTCTCTCCCCATGATAATGTCCTCCCCCTTCCATCTCTACATGTATATCTCCCCCTCTTTACCACACTCCCTCTTCTCTCCCTCTCTCTCTCTCTCTCTCTCTCTTTCTATCTCTCTCCCCATGATAATGTCTTCCCCCTTTCATCTCTACATGTATATCTCCCCCTCTTTACCACACTCCCTCTTCTCTCTCTCTCTCTCTCTCTCTCTCTCTCTTTCTATCTCTCTCCCCATGATAATGTCCTCCCCCTTCCATCTCTATATGTATATCTCCCCCTCTTTACCACACTCCCTCTTCTTTCTCTCTCTCTCTCTCTCTCTCTCTTTCTATCTCTCTCCCCATGATAATGTCCTCCCCCTTCCATCTCTACATGTATATCTCCCCCTCTTTACCACACTCCCTCTTCTTTCTCTCTCTCTCTCTCTCTTCCCATGATTATGTCCTCCCCCTTCCATCTCTACATGTATATCTCCCCCTCTTTACCACACTCCCTCTTCTTTCTCTCTCTCTCTCTCTCTCTTTTTCTTTCTCTCTTCCCATGATAATGTCCTCCCCCTTCCATCTCTACATGTATTATCTCCTCCTCTTTACCACACTCCCTCTTCTCTCCCTCTCTCTCTCCCTCTCTCTCTCTCTCTCTCTCTTTCTATCTCTCTCTCTCTCTCTCTTCTCTATACCTCTCCCCCTATTTTATGACAGAGACCATGATTACCATTTTGTACAAGACAGTCTTAGAAGTAAATTTATTTGGTACAATAACACATCTCAGATTTTTAAAACTGGAAACATTATTAAACAAGAAAGGTGTAAATGCTCCGTCGAGGGAAGAGGTACATGTATGGGAAGTTAGAGAAACATGCATAGTTATCATTTTTCTTCTCAAAACACGGGGCAGACGGAAGACAGAATTGGGATGTTAAAAGGTTACCAAAAGAATGTTAAATATGGCTAGTATAGTTAACTTAACAACCTGGTGAGGGGGAGAACACAAGGTAAACGAGAAAAGGAAGTAAAATAAGAGAGACATAAAGGGATCAATGTCGCTATTCGTAGGGACTGCTATTCATAAGGACCGCTATTCATATGGGCCGCTATTCATAGGGACCGCTATTCATAATTGAGAAACGGGTCATTATTTATAGGGACCGCTAATCATAATCAAAGAGAGGGTCAGTATTCATTATATGAGAAGAGGGTTGCTATTATTAGGTTCCCTATTCATAAAACTAGAAAAGGATCGCTATTCAAAATACGAGGAAAGGGTCGCTATTCATAAAAGGAGAAGAGGGTCGCTTTTCATAAGACGACTAGAGGGTCGCTATTCATATTGGAAAGAAACAATGGAGAAAGACCGGAAGAAGATGTGCAGTTGTGGTCGCCAATCGCCAGCAACTGACGATGGCAGCCAGGTAGCCAGGTTGGTATTCATAAGGCGACAAGAGGGTCACTATTCATAATGCGGAATGAGGGTCGTTATTCATAAGGGTCATTATTTATGATGGAAGAAGAGGGTCGCTATTCATAATAGTAGAAAAGGATCGCTATGCATAATACGGGGAGAGGGTCGTTATTCATAAATTCATTTCATTTCATTTCATTTATTTCAATTTCCAACAAAATAATAAGTACATGGGATTGCATTGTACATAGTAAAAACAATGAAACTTAACAATATATTTGTAATATTAGGAAAAGAGGGTCGCTATTCATAATTCGGAGGTCACTATTCATAAGGGTCATTATTTAATGGAAGAAGAGGGTCACTATTCATAATAGTAGAAAAGGATCGCTATTCATATTACGAGGAGAGGGTCGCTACATGGCCTTTAATATATTTGTAGAAAACATTTATTGAAAACATACATTTCTGAACAAAATATCGTTTTCACTGGCTGCCTGCCGTAGCAACAAACAGAGGTGACAAAAGACTTAACTCCGTTTCGTTGACGATCAGCCACACATCAAGTCCCTCGTCTTCTTTTTGCATGGTTGATCGTCAACAAAACGGGTTAAGTCTTTTGTCAACTCTGGTTGTTGGTACGGCAGGCAGCCAGTGAAAACGAATTCGCAATCAAAGTATGGACATCCAAGCATTACTTTAAACAAACAAAACTTAGTTATTCCTGGCTCGTTTTCCTGATTAAGGTGTCACATGAAAGGGCAAAAAATAAACTTTCTAGAAATGTGATTTTCTCTTTGAAATTCAGATACCGCCCGCCAAATGACTTTTCGGTACCCTCTCTTCAAACTGTTTTTAATCACGCATGCGTGAAATATGCATCATGTGAGTTGCATCAAATGAAAGAAGTGGCTCTAAGCTTTCCAAATATGTGTCATTTATGAATTATAATTGTGATTAAAGGTAATACAAAGTTTTGGGATTTTTTGAAATTGGGTGGAAAGTGATTCTTTACAATTTTGATATATTTGGATGCCCCTGTGGATGTATTATAAGCACTAGAAAATTTAGCACCTAAAACACTTCTGCTTTCGAGAAAAATTGAATTAAAAAATTTACCCGTGCTCCCGGTAAATTTATATATATTTTCAAATAGCGCCTACGGCCCTCTAATACTAGCTGCGACCATGAAAATCTCAGAATATGTAGGTGCAAATAAAAGGTTCCAAACGAGAATAGCTAATCGGTCGATATTAGTCAAGAAACATTGTTTCATAGTCTAATTATAATCTTGACCTTGAGAGGGAGCTATACAACATGAAGAGTGTATTATTAACAATTTCATAACTTTTGACTCGATTTCAACCGCGACAACGATCACTGAATATTGTAGGATCGCATATGCTTCCAATATGTTCATTTGAACCAAATTCATGACCCCATACCAAAACTTTGTATTACCTTTAAGTTATGATAAAACATCGACAATTCTCGGTTTCGCTTTTTCTGGGACACACTGTATAACAGAGAGAGTTGGGACAATTACAATGAAAACCAAACGTATTTTTTCAAATACATTATCAGCGGCGTAACCAGAGTGGGGGAGGCAGGGGCCGGAGACCCCCCTTCCCCACCCCTATTAGTTCGGACAAAATGCACATTTAGTTAATGGTTCGATAAAGTAAATAGCACCCCCCCCCCCCGGTCCCAATCTTAACTTTAATCTGTCATTGACATCCCCATCCCCTGTTATATTTCTTGTTAGACGTCACTTTAATTTATGTTTTTGCCCCTCCCCTGGTTGCGCCACTGACTGGGCCCAATGAATCTATATGTATCACACGCCAGTTTAAACTGTAGGTTTATGACATCATTATTTTGTTGACAGACACAAAATAATGGTTGTTTTATAATACACAAGACAAAGACGAGAATGATCCAATCACTTGTAGATTTTTTAAATATTTATTATGCAAAAAGCAGAGTGAGTGCAACTTTTGGGGATGTTACCCCTTACATTGAGTGAGGAGCTGATTTAGATAGTTCTGGGCATACATTGTAAAATAATTGAAGTAGAACTAGTGAAAACTAAGTCGAAATTGTGCTATCAAATAAATATGTTGTATATGAGGCTTTTATGGAATGTTTTGTAAATTATCATCCTGTTTAATCCCAAGGTAAGAATAGCACAGGTTATCCGAGTTATAATAAGACATTGCCATTGTTTATAAACAAGGTGCGCCGGTTGGCATGGACGGCCGAAAATCAACATTTTCGGTAAAGAGTCATGATTGACTTGATTCCATGATTGGTTGATTTGTTTCCAATAAATTCAACATTATTTTTGGAAAATTTGTGTAACATTGCTACAAACTATGGCTATCTGTTTTTGATTTGCATTTATGGCTTTCCATAGTTTTCCAACATCGGTTGGCAACTATGCGGGCTGTTACGTTGAAATAGAAAGGTCTTTTTATCGATACTTGACCAACAATGGCTGATTCGTGTCAATTTGATTTGGTAAGCAAATTGTGATTGTCACAGTAATATTTCTCAGTAATTCATCTTAAAATCTTGTTAGTGCTTTATAAAAGTTCAGTTCAGTTCAGTTCAGTTTCAGTTAATTTTCATATTTCACATGTTGTATAATACATCATTACATTTAGCATGTTACATTCTGTACTCATTTTAGGATGCGTTTATACAAACAAAAAAAGAATAATACATAAGACTAAGTTGTATAAAGGAAGAAATATGATGTTCACTGCCTCCAGCTTGCCGTAACCAAACAGCTATTTGTGTCAAACGGGAGAGGGCCATGACTATGTTTAAATTGTTGTAGCTTAAGAATAATTGAGAAGTAAACAGTGCATTTATTTAGTTAGTCTACCATAGTGGTTAATCAATTGACACAGCGAGCTTGATTGATGGTTTGATTTTTATTCGCCAAGCTTCCAACTTACTATACAAGAATAAAAGATCAAAATTAAGTCAGCTTGAACAGGCCGATAACCGACGAAAGCTTTCCAGTGGGGGAATCCATGTTTCAGTTAACATTAAACTTTACGGCTGGGAAACTGTCTCCATATTTTGGTTGTGAGAAAGATTGTTTAATATCTATCTGGGAGGCCAGCGGGTCTGTAACGGTTGGGGTCACCGCCATTGCGCCCCCATCTGTTGGCTTCCTGGTCTGCTTGAGTATCTTCAGGACCATGGCCGCTCAGTGTTCCCTGATATCCTTCGCGGGCATCGCTGAAAATAACCACAAAGCAGAGAACATTGTTGTTACACACAACTAATAGAGAATGTAATTATATATGTCCAATGGTGTATTTAACTAGACATTCTTATTTAAGGGGCAAAGGGGAAGGGGTAAAGACAAAACATTCGTCTGTGCATTATTTTGTTCGATCCCAATTGGGTTTGAAAGGGGGTAGTGATCGAGCAGGGGAGACCTCCCACAACCCTGCTTCGACCCCCCCCCCCCCCATAATTACGCCACTGTGGTTGGAAAAACAGCATTTCAAATAAATATCTTGTAGCGGGACCTATTGGTGTCCCTGCATTGTGAATCGAACATTAGATATTGGCAACGTTTGTCTATTTGTTACTTTTTTAAAAATTTAAGCCATATGCGAGGTTGATTATCTTGGTTCTGATCCCTACCTGATAACTCTGGCAGCCCATCTACCTCCTGATCCTCGCTGAGCAGCGTCGAAGTTGCCCCGAGCGTGGAAGTACTTATCGGTACCAGGGGTCTTAAAGTTGGCCTCACGCATGTCACTATTGAGTTTGTAAAGAAGCAATATACAGTTGTCCGTTTTCATAAAAATGTTTCAAATTCATTTCTTGTTTCAACCTTGCCGATATATTAAAGGGATATTGAGAAAAATATAAGACAGTAATACCATGAGACATTACCCCCGTACAAACTAGGGGTTCGGGGAACCCCCCCCCCCCCCTTAAAAAAAAATTTAAAAAATAGTCCTCACTATCCCCCCCCCCCCCCCCCCCCCCCCCCCCCCGTTATTCGCCGGCTGATTCGACGCTATAATGTTCTCACGAAACAAAAAAAGTAAGTGATCACCACCCTTCTCGGGATTAGTCGCTCAGGTCGCTCCAGCTTGCAATGTCTCACATTCACAGTCTGGCTCAAAGTTGGCAATCCCAAGAACCCCCCCCCCCTTAAAAAAAAGCTTGTACGGGCTTGGACATCAATTAAGTCATAATTACGACTTATATCTCATCATTAGAAGACGGTGTCCAATTAAGTTATATTGATTTGGAAGTCATAATTATGACTTGTAAGTCGTGAGATGTATTGGCAAAGTTATGACTTTTCTTTTCTTTTAGTTCCCGATGTCACCCCCCCCCCCCACACACACACACACACACACACACACACACACACTACGGGAACGGAGGGACCGCATTCATGTTCCCCGAATCTCCGGTAAAGGGGTACTTTTCAGGCAAGAAAGACCGGCTCGTAATACATTTAAAAAAACGGCCCGTATTGACTTTACACGTACACCGGACTTAGGGGATGCTATAATTTCTAAAGGAGGGAACATGCATACGCGTTCCCTAAATAACACTGAGTGGAGGAAGGGGGGCGGGTGTCAATCACACTTCCGTTGACAATAGAAACAGTTAGGAAAGAAAGAGAGATTTCATATAGCTCCGTTTAGTCTCATTTGAGAACGCCTCCTATCGGCAGAGTCTAGCAGCCTAACATGTACGTTAGCCTATGGACTTTTACCCCAAAAATCGTTAAAAATTCAATGGTGTTTCAATAATAGAGTCTGTATGGTTAATGGTGTTTCAATGGTGGAATTGTATGGTGAATGGTGTTTCAATGGTGGAATTGTATGGTGAATGGTGTTTCAATGGTAGAGTCTGTATGGTGAATGGTGTTTCAATGGTGGAATTGTATTGTCATTGGTGTTTCAATGGTGGAATTGTATGGTCAATGGTGTTTCACTGGTAGTGACTTTGAGAAAACTGGTTGTCCCTTATACTTTGAACTACAATTTGCTCTGTGATTTTGCTTTATTTTTCGCGAATTTTTCTTCACGATCAACGTTTCAAAGCTGACAAACTGCAAGGAATAATACCCTAGTCCTCAGGAACAATGGTGGATCTTTAGTTTTTTTCTTCAATTTGGAGTAATTTTGGTTCTGATATATGTCTCTTTACCGTGAGTAACTGCTGTTTTGTGCCTGTGGTCCCACTCATATGACTCTGTGATGTACATTATTATACATTTGCTTACATGAACAGCCCGTTATCGTTAATTAAAGCAGCTTATAAATCATTCATTTTATTACAAAAATTGAAATATTATAGTATTAGGGGCACACCTTTAGAAATTGTATCAAGTTATTTATCTCATCGTAAACAATTAACAATTATTAATGAAGCTGCCCTTACAAATTTTTTTTCAATGGTATACCATTCGGAAGTACCACTGAAAATACCATACGGATACCGTTCACAAACACCATTTAAATACCATTCGGATACCATTGAGATTACGCACGCAACGTACCATTGGGCACCATTCATCTACCAGTAAAATACCATTCAACCTAATAATAATCTTTTTGAACGCTTATTTGCATAATCACCAACGGTAGATGAATAGTACTATTTACACCATTGAAATTTGAATATTCACCATTGGCCTACCATTCACTATCCACCATTGGCCTACCATTCACCACCCACCATTGGCCTACCATTCACCATCCACCATTGGCCTACTATTCACCATCCACCATTGGCCTACCATGCCAATGGTGAATGGTAGATTAATGTTACAAAATGTGCATATTTCAAATTCAAATTTCAATAGTGTAAATAGTACCATTCATCTACCATTGGTGATTACGCAAATGAGCGTCCAAAAAATTATTATTAGGTTGAATGGTATTTCACTGGTAGATGAATGGTGCCCAATGGTACGTTGCGAGCGTACAGACTGCAGTACTATTCCCTCAAAATGAACATGCCATTTTATTTGTTTCGGGAGGGCACGCCCCCCCCCCCCGCATGTTTTCGGCAGGTGCCATGCCCCCCGCGGGTCCCGGTTCCTACGTGCCTGATCTGTTATTATAATTCTGAATAAGTCTGAAAATGATGGATGAACGTGAAGAGCTAAATTTCTTCCTATACGGTGTTCGGGTTATATTAATATACCCACCTGTAGCTTCGCCACATGTCGCCCGCTCCATGGTAGGCTCCACTGACAAAGTCGCCTGCTGTCCGAATGGGGCTACTGACGTAGCGATCAAACCAGGATGGTTCAGAACAATCAGAAGGCACAACCAGCACCCCAGCCATCAAAAGAGCAACGATACTAACGGAAATCCTCATCTTTGCAGGCTTGAAAGAGTTGACACTTGCGTACAAAGTTTTTTTAAAGGCACCCTATAGTTGTCCTGCTGGAAATAGAATTAAGAGAATTGACACGAACCTCTTTTTATATTAACTACAGGAGCTGTGTGGGAGCAAAGGGTGATGGGTAATCACAACATAATATGAAAAGTCAACAACAATAATTTTAATCATTTAATATAATGTTAAATTTGCATGGAAGATAAAGAATATAACAACCTGCGATCAAAATCAGTAACGTAAACAGACATTTTCTTTCCCTTTTCTTCTTTCCTATTTTTGTTCTTCTCTATCTATCTCTCTCTCTTTTGTTTTCTTTTGACTTCCCTACCCCCCCCCCCCCCCCCCCTCGTTACGCACGTACCAAAATAAAAGCTGGTTATGCAAATACACTGATTCATCAAGATAACGTCAACATTATCAACTTAAGAACACGGTTCTTCTCGTGTAAAGCAGTTTATATCTTTAGCGTATATTAATAATTCCTAATGCATACGTTTGGTCATTGGAGCCTAGTGATTGTGTTTATCCGATGTAAATGTAGGTACATGTACATACAATAAAGCTAACTTGTGACAATTTCATTTCTGACAGAAACGCTTCTCAGACTCAAACTTGGGGGGAAATGAAAAGTGTTATATTTTTCCATAACCGAAGTACTTCGAAGTTAAAAGTTTCTCAAAATTCGTTATACTACCCAAAGCTCCTGTACTTCTTACCAAATAAGTAGAGTCATTATCAAATGTGTACTGAGTCTTAATAATTTCTGTTCAATTTTTGAGCCCTCCACGGGCTATTTATTAATAATCTTCAGACAAATAAACAAATCAAATATATGTGCATGTTTAAACACATTAAATATAATCTTTCTATATACACAATTGTAGCAACTGCCACTTTACAGCAAAATGTCTTTCCATTCCAGATAGACATACAATATATTTCTCATCTTTATGATATTGTAGAACTTTCTTTTTCAATATATCAAATAGTGGAACCATACTTTTCAGTTTACAAATAAACATCTGTTGTTTAATTAATATAACAATGCAATTTAGGGCATCGTTTCTCTTATCTTCAAAGCCAAAAATTATATTTTGTAAAGTAAACAAAATTCTTATTTGAGTTCTTTCATAAATCCAGTTTGAGGTTTCATTCCAGATCTCACATTCATACAAGAAATGTACTGTATCTTCAATTTCTTTTTTGAACATTTTTGATTGTTTACAATTTTCATCCTAAATAGTTGTTTATGTAAAGACAAAATTCTGTTTAAAACTTATACTGGATGTATTTCAGACTAATAACTGGTGTAAAACGAAATATCATAACGTTATATTTTTGTATCAATACAGCTGGTAAATTGTAACTCAAATATCGTTCCCACTTTGAACTTATCAGAGACAAACAACTGGTTTCTCCCAAAAGAACTTTATAAATGTATCTACATCCTTTTTTTTTTCATGAATAAACGTTTTAAAATGGGAAGGAATTAAAGGTTATTCCAAGTTTGTTTGACATGTTTTATAATATTCATTATATCTGCACTTTATTACTTGACAAACTGAATATTAAGACTAATAATTAAGCTTCTAATCAAACTTCTCTTCAGATTTCTTGTGAGACATTAAGTTGCCATTACTATCCATCAAAACGTTAAAAAATCTTATACCCTTTTCACACCAGGATTTTTTTTTAAATAGACTCAATTGAGCTATTCATCCATAGAGATTCCGATAACCATTCATTCTTACATGCTTTAACTAACAAAGACATGCCCTCCAAAACTTCTTTCCAAAATGGATTGCCAGTTACATGAGATAATTTAAAGAAAAAATTATCACCAAAACTGATCATAAATGTTTTTTGTAAAAATGACTGCATTAAATGACCAACATTTATACACATATTCCAAATTATTCTTCTAACCCATGTTAGCTTTAGTGCTTTACTAAAACAGTCTATGTCAACCATTTCTAAGCCACCTTTTTCATATGAACAAACAACTTGTTTTCTGCTTATTTTATATGGCTTATTTTTCCATATGCACCTAAAGTAATGTCTCTTTATATTTTTCATTATTTTAACAGATGGGTTTGGAATTGACATAAACAAATGATTAAATTATGGTAATAATGATGACTTAACAATTGTTATTCTCCCCAAAACAGTAATATTTCGCTTGATCCAAGAAATCATTTGTCGTTTCACTTTATCAAATATTCTATCATAATTATAATCTGGCATCTTGGTAATATCAACATGAAATTCTGTTCCAAGATATCTAAAAAAAAACACATTATAAACAAACTCTACATTTGATCCTTCTAATTCAATATTATCTTTTGAACAGAAGCTCCAATCCAAATTGCTTTTGTTTTTTGGATATTCATCCTAAGTCCACAGAAGTTACCAAAAGAATTCAAAATATATATAACATTCTGAAAACTAGTATTTGAGCCATCAATAAATAAAAATAAAACTCATTTGCATATTGAAGAATTTTAATTCTTTAGAGTTAACACAAATTCCTTTCACTTCATATGAATAACGAATTAACCAACCTAAAATGTCAACACATATCAGAAATAAGTATTGAGAGAGGGGATCCCTTTGGCGACAGCCTCTTTCTATATGAAATCTAGAAGTTAATTGCTTATTTACCATAACACTTGAGTATGCATACTCAAGTGCCTTAATAATGGCTTGTGAAAGAAACAAGTGAATTGTGGATTGTAAACTGGCCTTTTGTGACAAAACTTAATCGTTGCCAGTCTTGTCCACCTAATCTTTTCAAGCAAAGATTAAACAAGCAAATATAAAACAAGAAAACCAGGAAAAGATAACTGAACATTCACAAAGGACTCAATCCCATGAAACAAATTAAGCAATGCGTCATCAATGGCGTAACTGCGGGGTCGGTACGAGTCTTCCCCCTCCCCGAACCCTTGTCTCCCCATTTTGCCCAAGTAAGATATAATTAACAAACATTTCCCAAATAAATGGTTCGACATAATTATAAATTGCCCCCTCCCCCCCCCCCCAAAAAAAAAAAATATATATGTAAACGATGTCTTTGCCCTCCCTCCCCAGGAAATGATGGGGGAGGAAGGGAAGGAGGAGGGAGGGCAAAGACATTGTTTACATATTTTAATTTTTTGGGGGAGGGGGCAATTTATATGTCGAACCATTTATTTGGGAAGAAATTATGTCTGCTTACGCCATGCCACTGTATATCATTCATCATGACTGGTTCGCGAAGCAGTTAGATCACAGAGAAAGGTTATATGATATTGTAACAGTTAAAACAAAGGTGTCACATGTAGATTGTCCGATAAAGCATTTACAAATAACTCTTTTCTTTGTAATTAAGTTTGTTACAATATTATGTTAAGCGATAATAATCAATTCATAGCCTAAGTTTAGATTTTCTCTTATGAACAAAATACAACGAAAAGTACAAATAATGTCTTTCACATTTTCCCATTGTATTTTTTACCGAGTTCCCTGCCGACAACAAACGTTAATGCATAACTGGCGCAAAATAATGTTAATCTTGTAAGTTGAACTAAACGTCGAAGTTTGCATTGGTAGTGGATAATCTTGCTTACTTTTAAATTAGATTTGATTTTCAGATGATAGTGTTTAAGCCTATACAGGTAGTGCAATTCAATGTAGGGTTACAAACAAGCATAAGAATAAGACACTTACCTGGATCTGTAATCTTGAACTTCAGACTTTCTAAGGTCACTGAGAATTAAGTAAGTTGACTTGGGTTTATATAAGATATTACTGTTCGGGTTTGCAGTTCGCAAACCCGAAATTTCTTGTGGTTTCCAACCCGACGATAACGATCATAGTCTGGTTGGAAAACACAAAGAAGTCCGGTTAGGTTTTTCTTACGTACAGGGCAATTGTATGCAAATTGTTGTGGTTTAACCCTAATAAGGCCGGGGGCATTATGCCCCCCCCCCCCCCCTCCACGATTTGTCTGATTGTTCGGGAACGCATATGGATGGCGCCCCGCCACTCGCTGACTTTTTTTTCGATTCTTGCGCATCTTTTAAAAGATTTTTTTTGAAAATCGGACCTACAGCTACAAGAACACGTGACCTTTTGTCCTTGCATGTCAGCCCGAAAATCGCTCATTTTCGTGATTGTGTACAGAACATATGGAAATTTCATTTTTCCTAAAAATAGATCAAACATTGGTTATTGGGTCTTGTTTAAAGTTTAGGTGGTTGTTTAGGAAGTCAAAATAGTTAAAAAATGTAGTTAGAAATGAAATAAAACAACAAAAACAATAAAATACATAAGTTAAAAAACAATGAAATACATAAGAAATTATCAAAACAGGAGATAACATAAGGGATAAGCTGGCTCTTCCAAATTTTTTGTCGTATTATTATTCCAAATGGGCTAATGAATATTATACAAATAGTGAATGGCCATGAGTGCAATGGTACAAGATTTTGCACGAGGTGAAAGATAAGAGACGCTATATTCAACGAGACGCAGCCGAGTTGAATAGAGCGTCTCATCTTTCACCGAATGCCATTGCACGAAAACTAATAGTACCGTATAATAATTATAATAATATAATAAAAACGTTACTTATAAAGTTAGTGAAAAAGAATGCTTTAATATGAATAATATATGATTTATGGGTAAAAATGTGATTTTTATGACATTATTTCCATAAATTACCATAAATATGCAGATGAGTGAATTTTTCAAATATTTAAATTATCATAGTATTCTATACACTTCACTTGAGATGTGTGCAAATTTTCCTACAGTGCACAGTGACACTCATGCAGTCAGTGACACAACGGAAAAAGAAATTCCTTCCTCCATGCATGACCCCTTCCTCCATGTATGTCACCGTGGCCATGGTGACACTGACAATGTACTGTGCATGTGACAAGGCAGTGATATGATCAACATGATGATGCTTTTCTTACTAAATTCTTACCATCATGAACTGAAGATTTACCTACATCAAAAGAAGATAAAATATAGCGATTACAGACGGTTATCAATGTATTATGTAATAATACAGTCAGTCATACCCGATAATTTTAAAAATGTTGTAGTTTTCGGGAAAAAATAATGATAGTGAAGTTCGCAAACCCAGACTTTCTTCACAAGGAAGTCCGGTTAGGCCTTTATCACATTACAGTCAGTCATACCCGATAATTTTAGAAATGTTGTAGTTTTCGGGAAAAAATAATGATAGTGAAGTTCGCAAATTCAGACTTTCTTCTCAAGGAAGTCCGGTTAGGCCTTTATCACATTACCAGGAAAAACGGTATTGCGGAGACTTCTGGAGCTTTACGAAAGCGGTATGTAATGGAAGTCTGGACAAGGAGACTGCGAAACCTTCTTTCACAAAAGAGACGGCAGACTTGTATTATCCTGGCAAGTACTCTCAGAAAGTTACATTGGACTTTAATCAGTCACACTGGTTTCATGTATCCATTAATGAACCCACCAAAAGTGAATTCAATCTCAATCCAATTACACCAAAGCAAGTTAAATCAGTTATTCAGATGAAAAAAAAGCATTTTCTGCCCCTGGTCCGGATTGCTTTATGTATGGGTTTGTAAACTAATAAAAATAACCTCTCACCAATATATCTCTAAAACACCTATCATCCAAAACCAATCATCCAAAACTCTTAGAGGTTGTTACGTAATGTGCCTTGTATTCACCATTGTCTAGCTACATTGTACACTCGTATAATATTAGAAGGTAAGGATCCACCCGATAATAAATTGGTCCGTCTCTCGTTTTTCCCTTATACACGAAGACGGGGATACTTCCCTATCGAAAATGTCAGAATAATCTCACTCACTTCATGCGTGAGCAAAGTATCTCACCAAATTTTGGCGAACCGATTAATTGAATACCTCGTAGAGAACAATTTCGTTGATAAATCGGTTCAGAAGGCATTTATTTACGGTATAAATGGGTGCATAGAACACAATCAAGTAATAATAATAATAATAAAGTAATTTTTATATAGCGCATAATAATAAATTCTCTATGCGCTTTACAACAATCAATTATACAGTGCGTCCCAGAAAAAACGAAACCAAGAAGTATCGATGTTCTATCATAACTTAATCACAACTATAAAAAATGAATGATACATATTTGGAAAGTTTAGAGTCTCCTCTTTCACGTGATGCTACTCGGATAACGCATATATCACGCATGAGTGATTAAAAGCAATTTGAAGGAAGGAAACCAAAAAGACATTTGGCGGGCGGTATCTATTACCTACTTCTATTACGAACTTGTCAATATTTTGTTACTTGTATAATTCATTTGTTCTATCATATATTGTATTACTGTATGGTTTATATATGTCATTTAATTTGTGGATATTTGAGTGGAAAATAAATAAATCAAATCAAACCAAAAATGTATGCAACCATCAGATTCTGTTCGCTTTCTTCTGACAGTTCATTGCCTCCACAAGAGCAACTCAAGCCCCTTTCACACCGGATCTGCGTAGAGTTGCGTAGCGTTGCGTACCGACTACGCCGAAGTTAGGCTGCGTAAACATGAATGTGTACTTTCGGATGACTTCAATATTAATTCTTTGAGTGAATAAGACACAGTAGAAGAGTTTCTGATATCATTACAATGCATGGGCTTGGATCAATTGATTCAATCAGAAACAAGGGTGACAAAGGAATCCGCTTCTTTACTATAGATCATATATATTCAAATATCAATATATCTGAAATTCATTCAGGTATAATACAATCTGATGTGTCCGATCATTTCACAGTTTTTGTAATCTTCAAGAACATAGCAAGAACTTCCACAGTTAAGGACGGCGAGGCAAATATTTCTTTCTCAGACTCAAACATTTTTTATATAATTTGGTCATTAGGAAAAGGAAGAGACTTGATTTCCAACAACAGTTACTGTGTAGATGTGAGTGTACTCGCTAAGTGAGGTGGGATTTGTAGAGCTTAGAAAGCTTTGGGAATGAAGGGGGAGGGGGGAAGGTAAGATTGTATGTGTGTCTGAGTATGTGAGCGTGTGTGGTGTGTCTGTCTGTCTGTGCGTAAGGCTTCTGATCTATAATATTCATAAAGTATAATTATTTTAAAGACAGTATGTACTGTGTATTAAACTATATTATGTATTTCTGAGGGAAGATTTTAATACTATCGATATTATAGTTGTGATGTAATCCCATAAGTGCAATACATGAAGGCAAACTATGGTTTCAATTACTTATACACACAATGTATGAAATCGTTTTTTTATGCAGATTATTTTCTTTTTAATTTACATATACCACTTTTATATTTGTACTGGGGTCTAATCTTTGTATCTTTATGATAGAATCACTTCATCTTCTGTACCGAAGTTAAAATTGTGTTAACCATTTATTTGTAATTGTTTAAATAACTGAAATTATCTTCCATGGCCAATGTCACAGTTGTCTCCTCTTCCTCTACCACTTCTACTTTCCCACCTCCTTTCTTCATCTCACCCTTATCCTTCCTTCTCAATCCTCTTTTACCTCTTTCTCCTTCTGTGTTTTTGCTTCTTCTAATGGTTCTCCTTTTTTATAGTCTGGATGAAATGTTATAACCTTTTCCTTAGAGTAGCTATTACCTAGAGTAAATTTTTAATTCGTATAATGTGGGTATTTATTTTCTACATAACTTCGCCTCTATCAATTGTAGTTTTATAATGTGTATTGCTTGCATATTGATACCGATACATTATGATAGTGTTACTATTCGCACTACCCTCTGTCTATCATCTTACTATCCCCACTTGAATCTTCTTCTTCCTCGTTCTCTGCTACTTTTTCTCTTCTTCTTCCGCTTCATCCTCTTCTTAATCTTACCATCCTCTTTTCTTTTCTTTCTTTACTCTACACCACCATCATGTTCTTCTTCATTTTTCTTTATCTCCTTTTTATATGAAATGAGTTAGGGAGATCAAATAATAAGAAATAATAATTTTAAAGTTAAATATTATTCTCAACAATTTACTCATTCAAGTTCAGTTCATTAATGTTGATGTTATTTGATATGAATGTTTTTATACATTCTTTTTTACATTTGTAAAACATTGCCCAATTCGGCCTTTTAGGCCGCGATGCATTGTTGTTCTTTTATTCTCAATAAAACCATTATCAAATCAATTCAATGTTCAATTTTCTTTACATTTTGATATGTTATGTAAGTCAATGAAGATGTATGATTTTCGTTAGAATTTGTACTTGAATGAATGCAATAAAGAATGCTACAAAACAAAATTGCAGTCTAGCAAACAAAACAAATCGATATAGAAGTTAGTTGTTACACAAAATATAAATCTTTAAAAAAGGTCAACACAGCTTATCTCATGTTTTGTATTTCTTTCTCCATCCTTTGTAATATCAGGAAAGAGAGAAGCTGCTGAAAAAACATGAATATCTCGAGGGATCATGAAATCTATACGTGTAAAATATACAATGTATTCAAAAGTTATTAAATCAAATCATCGACAGGATCTAGTTGATAAGTACAAAAAGTACAGAAACATACTGACCACTCTACCAAGAAATGCAAAAAGGAATTACTATTGTGATTCTTACTTTTTTAAGTATCAATTGTAGTAGTAAATTCTTTTTTTTGTTTGTTACGTTTTCTAAACTGATTTGTACCAAAACACTTGGTTTGGTTGTTAAAGAGGTTGAATATACACATCTATTCCTTTTTTATGAAATAAAGGCATGATTTAACAACAATTTATTTAATGAGAGTGAAGTTCGCAAACCCGGACTTCCTTGTGTTTTCCAACCAGATGTTAACAATCATCGTCTGGTTTGAAAACACAAGGAAGTC